GGTTTTGGTTTTTTCCAACTCTTAATTCTCCTGCCTCAGCCTCACAAGAACTGTGATTACAGGTGTCTAACACCATACCCAACTCTGTTTTCTGTTGTTCTTATTTGCTTTTTTTTTTTGAGTAAGGGTCCAGCTGTGTAGTCCAAGCTGACCTTAAATTCTCAGTCTTCCCACCTCTGCCTCCCAAGTACTGGGATTATAAATTCACACTCCATGTTTAACACAATATAACTTTAATACCTACTTATAATGAATGGTCTTAGGGGCTGAATTGTGTCCTCCAAATATTCGTATGTTGAAGTCCCCACCCTCTAAGTATCTCAGAATGTGACTGTTATTTGGAGATTAGCCTTTAAAGAGTTAAGGTCAATGAAGTTGTAAGAATAGGCCCCAAAGCAATATGAGAAATTTGGACACACAAGATTATCAGAAGCTGGGCTCACATCTGTAATTCCAACCACATAGGGGGTTGAGATGGGAGGATCAAGGTTTGAGGCCAACCCAGGCAAATAGGGTCACAAGACCCTATCTCCAAATTAACCAGAGGAAAATGGACTGGAGGAGTGGCTCAAGTGGTAGAGTGTCTGCTTTGCAAGCTTGAAGCCCTGAGTTCAAACTCTAGTCCCACCAAAAAAAAAAAAGAAAGAAAACATCAAAGACACCAGGCCATATAGATGAGGAGAAAAGAACCATCTGCAAGCCAAGGAGAGGGATCTTAGGAGAAACCAAACCTGCCAACACCTTGATCTTGGACTTCTAGCATCCAGAACTGTGAAAAAATTAATTTCTGCTATTTTTAAAGTTACCCTGTCCATGTTATTTTGTTCTGACAGCCCTCGCAAACTAATACAAATTATGAGCAAACCAATCAATAACAACATAAAAACTTGATGGCAGAGTGGTCAAGCTCAACTCTCCTATGGGTGCTCTTTGAGAATGCTTGTGCTGCCTTGGGAGCTAAAGTATCTTGGGTTGCTAGAATGTGGATGATGTGCAGATTTGTTTTTTTTTTTTAAAGGACAGGAAGACTGGGGATATCTTCAACGCTGCTTCTTGGCTTCAAAAGCTTAGTTTTGGGATTCCTGGAACCAATACCCCAATACTGAGGGACAACTGTGTATGATCCATACCCATATTCTCTTTTCCTATGGGCTCAGGGTGGAGCTACCATGCGTGAGGCCCTGGATTCAGATTCCCAGCACCAAAGAGCAAAAACAAAAAATAAAAAATTTGGGGGTTGGCAAAGTGTTCATGTGCCTGTCATCACAGTTATTCGGGGAGGCCGCAGGTAGGAGGATCTCTAAGGTCAGCCTGGCAAAAGGAACAGGAGACTCTGTCCAAAAAATAACTAAAGCAAAAAGGGGCTGAAGGCATGGATCAAGTATTGCCTAGCAAGTACAAGGCCCTGAGTTTAAACCCCAGTGATACACACAAAAAAGAAGTAAATACAATAATTAAGCAAACAGTTCAAATGTTTTTGAAACCCATATTTTAAAAGGTAAACATATAAAAACTAAAACAAATACTATCTTATGGACACTCTCAATATCTAGGTATGATCAGCTAGCACTTTAGGCTCTGAGTTTCTTAATGTTCAACTCATATCCTGGACTTTGTTGCCACTGACACTTCAGAGCACTCTATCTCTGAAATCCAAATCTAATACAACAACTGATGAAAATCTCTCAGTTGCCACTCTGCTTGCTCTTCAACCTCAGCGAGCTTCCAGTCCACTTTTCTCTCTATTATCTTGGAATCTAGGATTGGGGAAAGAATACCAGAGAAGAGCAAAGAAAAAAATAATTTCTTCTACCATAAAATGTTCCAATCTTCTATGAACATAATCAGTTGCTTTGTGGTAATTAAATGTATGGCTTCCCTCTGCTATTCCCACCACTGTCTAGAATCTGGACCTAACACTATCAAGGGGAAGATTTATTCTGGGTTCTAAGTCTCTATCAGCAGAGAGAAATAAACAAATCTTTCTAATAATCTAGAATTAAATGAACATTCATTTAAAAGGAATTACAGCAATGTTTAGCCACTGACAGTGTTAAATAAAACTATTCAATTAGAGACTCCAAGACTGGAGCAGGGTCACTTCAAGGTGAGAGCTTGGACAGCAATGGGGGGAAGATGTCAAAAAGAGACAGGAGCTGACCTGAAGGGGCTACCCCTAGCCAAATCTGGGACAATTTAAGCATGAGAGTAAATAATGATAGTAATATGTTCTAACACACTGAATTTAAAAATCCTTATGTCCATATTGATAACTTTTAGAGAAAGAGGGAAAAATATAAACTTTTACAGAATAGCGAAACACCAATTAATAAATGTAGAAGGAATTGAAATAATTACAAAATTGCACTTGGCAACCTCCAAAGGCAGGGATCAGATGTAAGGGCGATCTGGCTGTGACATCTGGCACCCCATTGATTGCCAGGGTTGATTCGGCTGATCTGGCTGGCTAGGCGGGTATCCCCTTCCTCCCTCACCATTCCATGCACATCCCTCCTGAAGCTGTGTGCTGGGTCGAAGAAGACGACCATCCCCAAACAGAGGAGAACGGTTCTTCGGTCAAGGGTATATGAGTAGCTGTGCTCCTCTGCTAGAACCTCCAAACAAGCTCTCAAAGGTAGGGATCATTTCCATGCTAAGAACATTGGATAAAAAGTTAATGGGTGACAGGATGGCATGGTCTTGAAATATCACCTCACCGATTACTTATTATTTAAAGGGGGGATGTAGCTTTACAATGGAGAGATCCACATTCACGCTCTTAACCAAGAGATCAAATTTAGCATCAGGGGTTACAACGCAGCTTAGTGATACAGGGCTTGCCTAGTACACGAGACCAATACCACACCAACACCACAAAAAAAGAACAACAAATTTAGCACCAGCAATAGCAACAGCAACCTGATATACACCTGCTGTATTGCACCAAGAAATACATGGCATCCACCTGTGTAGTATATTGAAAGGCATTTAAACCAAACTAATGAAGAGAAAACTATCAATTACACAGTATTACTATTCAAAATGGGATCCAAAGACCAAAACCACATTATCTGGGAGTATGTTTGAAAAACAGAATATTAAGCCCCATTCAGACAACTGAACCAGAATTTGCCTTTTATCAAGATCCTAGGGTGATTCATAGGTACAAAATTTTAGAGGTCCTGTACAAGATTAATCAGCCAGATATTTTTTTTAAAGTCAGTCATAAAAACAAACAAAAAGGCTAGGGGAACAGTTTGGGATTTAAAGATATAACAACAATCAAAAGCAATGAATAAATCTTGATTAAATTTGGGATGGGGAAAAGTTATAAAATACATTCAGGGGTATAACTGGGAAAATGTGAATATATACTTTGAATTGAATTTATTCTTAAATATGATAGTGGTTACACAGAATTATCTGATTCTTAGAAGATACACACTGAAATATTTAAGATATTTAAATATTTAAGATGTGTCATCATGTATCATGTTTACAACTAACTTTAATTTTATTTATTTTTTTGTGGTACTGGGGCTTGAACTCAGGGCCTACATCTTGAGCCACTCCACCAGCCCTTTTTTGTGAAGGGTTTTTTCGAGATAGGGTCTCAAGAACTATTTGCCCAGGCTGGCTTTGAACCATAATCCTATTGTTCTCTGCCTCCTGAGTAGCTAGGATTACAGGCATGAGCCACAAGCACGCAGCTTGCAATTTACTTTTAAATGGCTCATAAAAACATGAACACATAGAAAAAGAAAGCCAATGTGGTATAATATTAACAATTTCTCACAATGAAGTTTATGTAGGTATTCTTTCTGCTATTTTTTCATTTTTTTTTCTGTAAGTTGAATATTTTGTTGTTCAAATAAAAAGTTAAAGGATAAGAAGAATATGCATTAGCCTACAACAGAAGGGTAAGTCTTCAGGAGCAAACAGCATGATTTACACCACCATATATATCTTAATCCCTAATTCAGAAAATACATATTTCAGTAGATGTTCTGATAAAATAAAATTCGTTTAAATCACATTTTAGCTGGCAGAAATTCCTAAGACATTAAGAGCTGTATAATCAGTTGGCTGTCAGATACATATGGAACTACTGACTGTCACTATAAGAAGAGATATAGAATGCAATGGCAGAGGTTTTGGAGTCAGTCAAACCAAGACTTTATTAGTGAGGTGTCCCTTAGGTATATTTAATCTCCCAAAGTCTCAATTGCTCTATGTGCAAAGTAGTATCTTACAGAGAAGTTAAATAAAATATAAAATAATGAATATCATTAACTGTCATTTTATCAGTAAAGTTAGTTAAAAGGTAGTCTATAGAATGGTGGTCTTGTTTTTATACCAGAGTTTGACTTTATTCAGAGATTAAGACTTTATATGATCTAGGAACATTATCTGAAAATGACAAGTCAAGGTAAGAAGGCAAATTATCACTTTTCATTTTTATTTTGTGACTGGGGGGAAAACATGGATTCAGTCAGATGACTGGCAGCTTTTCCCTAAGAAGACCAATAGAAAAGTATTTTACTTCTTCAACTAAATGGAGGTACACAGTATAAAGCACTGAAATTAGCAAAATAAAGTTATTATAAATGAATCAGAGAATCAAACTCAGTGTTAAGTAAATGTGTAAGTAATTTTGTTCAGTTATCCTCAACTGTCTTGACTAGAAGGGCTGTGAGAAGCTATGTTTTCATAGGAGTTTACTGAACATAGTTTTCTGGAAGCACTTAAAGACTAAACATCTATCTTTTTAATTTAGGTGTACTTATTATGACCAGATGTGACAAGACTGACTTCAATAGATGATACTATACCCAATTATTCTGTAAAATTCTAAAGTAATTTCCAGAAGATTGGCAACTGTGACCATGAGCCAAATCCAGCCTACTGCTTGTTTTAATTAGCAGTTTTAATGGAACACAGCCACACTCCTTCATTCATAGATTGTCTAATTACAACAGAAGAACTGAAAAGTTGCAAAAGAGATTGTATGACCTACAAAGCTGAAAATATTTACTATCTGGCCTTTATAGGAAAAAACTGCAGGTCCCTGATCTAGATAAGCAAACCAAGAATACAATAAAGCCTATTGTACTCACCCCAGGTGTTGTCTTTTTGTATTGGTCACCTCCATCTATCACGTCCCTCATGATTTTTCCCTTGAGAAATTCATACTCTTCTGGACTCAGGTGAATAGACTCAATGGTTTTTCCACAGCTTGAACACCGACCACTGTAATTACAATTTTTATGTTAAGTAATGTCCTAAAAAAGAACTTTCTTCTAAAATGAATTATTTTAAGGCACGAGCAAATTGAAATGTAAGACTTTAAACACTTTGTGAAAATTAGAGATAAGGGCAAAATAATTTCTGCGGGGTATTGAGGGTGGAGGGGGAGAGGGAGGGGGTAAAGTGGGTGGTAAGGGAGGGGTGGGGGCAGGGGGGAGAAATGACCCAAGCATTATATGCACATATATATATATATGCACATCTATATTATATGCACATAAAACAATAAAAAAATAACTAAAAAAAAAAACTAAACACTTTGAGATCATCACATACATCTGATTTTCTTTGTGAACCTGAAAATAAGATGAAAAAAAATTTCTTTGGTGGTACTGGGGTTTGACCTCAGGGCCTCACACTTGCCAGGCAGGCGCCCTATCACTTAAGCCACTCAGCCTCCCCTTTTATTGCACTGGGTATTTTTGATATAGGGTCTCTATTCGCCCAGGCTGGCTTCAAATCACAATCCTCTTTATCCTGCCTCTTGAATAGCTAGGATTTCTGACATGAGTGATTGGCACCAGGCCAGATGAAACTTTTAAAGTAATTCCTAAAACACAACTGGGTTCCAAATCTCTAGAGGCAAACATCTCTAAGGCTTCATACAGGCTTACAGCACGACCAGGAAAAAACATTTTGAGCATTACAAAGTTTCTGTATGCAAAACATGGCTTTTTTTTTCCTTAAAGACTCTATAAACACTTAATTATCCTATCTCTAAATTATTCAATATTGGCCTTTACCTTTCCTGGATTGTGGTGAATTGTCCTTTCCATTGCTTCCCAGGAATACTACAAAAAAAAAAAAATTACAAAACCAAATCATTAGAAAGTTAAATACCTGCTGAACAGAAAGATATTCAGTGTACTTAGAAACTATAGGCAAGACCTGTGAAGATTTCAGGATACTTCTAAAATGGTTTGACTGTACGAGTGGTTGCTATACTCTGAAGGGGAAAAGAACAGATGGCACCCTACTATGGATCTCTTTCTTTCTTTGGTTATCCTCCTACCATCCAACCCTCATCGTCCATAGTTTAAATCTACCTTCACTGGAACTGTACAGAAAGCAGATGACCTCTGTAATGTAACATCTAAATGCAACTCAACTTTAATCTTGTCCATGCAGCTGCCAGATTGCTCCTGCTCAGAGTAATTTTTCTAATCTCTCATACTCTTGTCTTATAGACCAAAGATATTTAACTGTCAGATATTGCATTCCTAATTAGGTTGAGAATGCCATCATAATAGAGCTTTTTTTTTTTTTTTTTTTTTTTTTTGCAGTACTGGGGCTTGAACTCAGGGTCTACACCTTGAGCCACTCCACCAGCCCTTTTTTTTTTCTGTTGGGTGTTTTTGAGATAGGGTCTCTCGAACTATTTGCCCGGGCTGACTTTAAACCTCAAGCCTCCTGATCTCTGCCTCCTGAGTAGCAAGGATTACAGGCGTGAGCCACTGGCACCCAGCCATAATAGATCTCATGTCACAAAACATAGTGCCTAGCCTACTGGCGGCATCCAAAATCACTTATTGATTTATTTGCTCAATCAACTTACTTTTTTTTGGTGGTGGTGGCAGTGTACTGGGGTTTGAACTCAGGGAGCATTCTACCACTTGAGTTACAACCCCAGTTTATCCTTTCTTCTTTCATGTTACATATACTACCATTAATTCGATTATTCTATTGCCTTCTCTCTTTTCCTGGTTCTTAATTCAGGACCCCATGATTTCTCACCCAAACCCAAAACTGCTTTCAAACAAACATCCCTGTTTTTAACCTTTTTCATTTTTTCCTTTTTTTTTTTGGCAATTCTAGGGCTGAACTCAGGGACTTGCTAGATAGGAGCCCTACCACTTGAGCCACTCCAACAGCCCTGTTTTTAATTTTAATCCCTGTCCAATCTGCTCTTTTCACTGTTTTGGCAATTTTTTCTAAAACTCTACTCCAAAACCAGCACTCCTGATAACAGAATAAAATCCAAACTCTGTTTGGAACTCTTTTGATATTCAGTAAGTCTGTTATATAATTAAGCATAACTGGTAATTCAAAACTCTGTAAACATGACATATAATAAAGCCTGAGAAAAAGAGGGAAGGAATTTCTTAGGAAATTGCCTGAAACAAATTAACAGTTAAGAAATGAATGTAAAAGACAGAAACAAGCCGGGAGCTGGTGGCTCATGCTTGTAATCCTAGATACTTAGGGGGCAGAAATCAAAAGGATCATGGTTTGAAGCTAAATAGTTCGCAAGACCCTATCTCGAAAATAACCATCACAAAAAGGGCTGGAGGAGTGGCTCAAGGTGAAGGCCCTGAGTTCTAACCCCAGTACCAAAAAAAAAAAAGACAGAAGCAATAAGCAGGTATGCAATTAATAACATGAGTAAAAGCAAACAGAAAGCAAAGAAGAGCCTAGGTAAGCAGCCCAAATGAGAGAAAGATACTAAACAAACTGGAAGGATGAAGACTTTCCATTTTAACACTGAATTACCAGGTTTGGTCAGGCTCTGCCTGTCCACTTTAATAATTCAAGGTGATCAAACACAGAAGTTAGACATAATAGATATAAGCACATTACTCCAGTCACTAGATTTAAGAACTTCTAAAATACTAATATGGACCAAGGACAGCTCCAGTAAAATAGTAAGTCCTTTTCTTGCTATGAACTTTGCCACAAGTACTATTCATAGGTACCTTATGCTAGATGCCTCAGAAAACAAAATAGTAACTCTAAAAGAAAAAAAAAGTTACATAAAAAAATGTAAGTGCTTTATAGTTTCCTTTTTATGTGATGGGAGGGGATTAGAACACATCACTTATGCCACTATTTTAGAGCGAATATTTTGTCTTAAAGGGGAAACATTTACCTAGAAATGGAAAAAAAAGGATAACCTAAATAGAATGAGTCTCAGAAACAAACAAAACACAAAACAAGGGGTTACTATTAAAAATATTAAAATAAAAATATATATACAAAGAAAAATCAAAATTACCTTTCAAACCATGTTTTTATACTGTGTGCAAAAGATTCCCCAGGGTACAGCCGATTACTTCTTAGATATAAAAGAATGTCTAGTAGCTTGTTTGAATAGTGATCATCCTTTATGTCTTTTCCAAAATCAAAGAAGGCTTTTAAAGTTTCCATCATAGGAATAAGATCGTGACCTAGCAATTCCTGATACAAATTCCAAGCTGTAGTCACATCCTGATGAAGGAGGGCTCCCTCGATACAGTCACCATAGTTCTTTTTTGAAGGGATCATGACTTTTTTTATATCTTCTAACAGTAGCAAAGCTTCTTTCCATCTGTCTGAGTGGATTAATCCCCGGATGAGAAGAGTGTAACCCCCAGATTCTAAACTCTTGTATCTGGCTTTCATGATTTCATAGACATCAATAACTTCTGATGTTTGCTTATGAACAACACAAAGATGTAAATACTTGACTAGTAAATTATAGCCTACAATTCCATTGTTTTTTGCTGCTACCCATGCCAGCAGAGATTTAGCCACATCTACAGAGCTATGGCACTGAGCCATCCGTGAACTGACCAGGTCTTCAAAATTAGCCTTTCCTATGAAATCTTCCTTAAGTTTATCCCACTCCTCTGAATTCAAAGGTTTTGTTGGGAGTTGAATGGTGTTCCTCACAGGTGGCAAGGCATGATCCTTACTTTGAGGATTATTCATCTGTGATCGCTTTTTAGCTGCTCCAGCTGCAAAAAGATGAGGTGAATCAGAAGGAACCTGCTTCTTACTGCCCCCATATCCTTTCCTGAGATATCTGGCTTTGGCAATGGGCAGATTCGTTGCTTTGGTATTTTGTGGAGACATAGTTTTAAGAGAAAACCATCTCTGTTGATTCCTGATGCCACAGTCAACCAAGAGAAAGAGAGAAGGGTGCCCTGGGCCTAGCGAAAGGTAAGGATTGATCTTCCAAAGCTTAGGAAAGCTTCGAATACCAGACCAACAGAAAAGCATTATGCAGAGATCAGCACCAGCCAGTGAGGGCAATGTTTAAAACAACACCCCACTTCTACAGCAAAATTGATTGGGACTGGAGTCGAAGCGCAATTTTTTTTCTGGAGAATTTATTTCTCTCTTATAAACAAATGAAGGTTCCGCTTTAGGGACTACTTATTGCAATGAAGGCAAATGAGTTCTCTCTATTAAACACCGATCCAGGAATATCCAACAAGCCCTACACCAAAGCGTATCACATTCCAATCCGCAAACCTGAGGAAAAAGCACAGGAGGAACGCCAGTTTGACTCACGTGGATCTCAACTGACCTGAAAACAGGCAGGATCCCCAAGGGGCTGGAATAGGGAGGGGATAAAGACAAAAGCACCACCAGAAGCCCCCAACCCGAGCCCCACCAGCAGCCCCACCGACGAAAAACAGTCGATACTCGCCCTGAGTATCAACTCTCCCCAGGCCGCAAAACTCGTCAGACAGTGGAAGAGGGATCGGGAGGTAAAGAAGCGAGGTCCAGGAAGAGAACCGACTTGGTTGTTTTCCGAAGGCTAACAAACGAAGTTCATCTCATTCAGCTCACCACAGCACTTACGCTAACGCAACGATAAACGCGGCGGAAACTACAGTGCCCACTATGCACCGCGGCAGCCCAGGCACGGCGGGTGTCACTGCCCTGAACGCAGGCGTTCCGATGAGCGGGCAGCGATCACAACAACAAAGGTGATTTCTGAAGCTTTTATTGGCAGAGGGTGTTAGATCAGAGGACCTATTACAATTAGAGGGCCATTACGGCTTCAGTTTCCCTCAAGGTGAAAACGCCGGTGTGTGGGGGGAGGGTGTGAGTGAACTCCTGAATCACGTGGTGCGCAGGCGCCAAAGGCCCAAGATGAAGAATAACGTGGCCTTCCTTATCTTGGTCTTTCAAATCGGCTTGGCGAGGTTCGGACGCCTCCCGAAGGAGGATCATTTCTCATCTGTTTCTCGTCTGCTTTCCCCACCTGTTAGCGTGACCGCAGTATCCGCAATTGCTACGATAATCGTTTTTTGCCTCTGACCAGGACTTCCGCCCGTGCCCAAAATGGCGTTTGGGCGGCCTCCCTAATTTCTACGGGGCTTGCGGCGTCTGACGTAGAAGCTGGCAGGGGGTGGAGCGGTTAATAAACAGCAAATGCAGGCGCTGCTGAGCGGGAGTCAGCCATGGACTGGAAGGAAGTGCTGCGCCGGCGGTTAGCGACGCCCAACGCCGCTCCGGAGAGTGAGTTTGGGAGGGGCGGCCCGCTGGGATAGCCCGGCCCAACCTGGAGGAGGGGGGAGAATGCGGAGGAGGAGCAAGTGCGGGCGCTACTTTCAGCGTCTGTAAACTTCGGACAAGGGAGGCGGGGTGGCGTGTGCTGCAGGGGTCCTGCGAGGTCTCAGCCAAACTTCCCTGGGACATGATCTGCAGAAACGAGCAGCTTGGCTGTAGCCCCTGACTTCCACGGTCTTTACCTACACGAAAGAGGAATAGCTGAAAACCCTGGAACCCACCAGCACCTGTAGTTCATTGATACTACGGCTCTCGCTACCTCCCCCCCTGTCCCCGCCCGGCCCCGAGACAGCGACTCTGTGTAGTCGAGGCTGGCCTCGAATTCGCCGTCCTCCTGCCCCAGCCTCCTGAGTGCCTACTGCATATTTACTGTTGCACTTTTCACTTATGCCCTTACCGTTTTAGATTTCATAATCCATCTTGCCTGTGCTTTTCCCCCACCTTCACACTTGCATGTTAACAACCTGGTTAAACCTTTCCAGATCCATACCTGCAGTTGTAATTGGCAGGAGAAAAACAGAACCATGGTGAATTGTCTCACTTTTAGTTCACTAGGCTAAAATAGGTGTTTTAGTCACGTCTACATTGTTTCCCTAGGCATCTATTCTTCTACACTCAATTCCTCTCATCTTCCCAACCTCCAATCTGTCCTACCGACTCCTTACTTTAACCTGATGAACTTTGTTTTTTAAGAACATCTCATTGAGAAAGTAGAAGCAGTCAAATTAGAACCTTACCTGTTCCCACTTAGCATTTCTATCAGCTTCCAGCAATAAATGCCCATACATCTGCGGGCACTGTTAAAATGAACTGCCTGTCCATGATCCCATTTGAGTCCCTCCACTCCAACACTAGATCACACTCCCTTTCTCATGTTCACTGACTCGTCTCTAGCCTTAGCCTCTCTCCTGTACATCATCAAATTTTCCTTCTCTACTGGATCACTTCCATTAGCCCTGACATACTGTAATATCCCCATGGGGGGCAAGGGTAGGTACTGGGGTTTGAACTCAGGGCTTCACACTTGCTAGGCAAGCGCTCTGCTGCTTGAGTCACACCCCCAGCCCTCTATGCTCTGGCTATTTTTGAGATGGGGGTGTTGCTTTGTGCCTAGGCTGGCTTGGACCACAATCCTCCCAATCTCAGCCTTCCAATTAACTAGAATTACATACGAGCCACCAGTGCTCAGCTCAATATCCCCCATCTTAAAGTCATTTGCTCCCACATTCCCCTCCAGATTCTCCTACACTGCTCATACCCTTTTATAGAAATACTTCTGGGGCTAGGGGTATATAACAAATTATCTAAGTTGTACAGAGAATAGCTCCTGTTTAAGACAGTTTTTGTGTTTCCCTTACAGCATCACTTCCTAAAAGGGTTGGTTAAATATCTATTTGCCTCTAATTCCTACTTGTCAAGAATCATTAGTGACCTCTACATTGCTGAATTCAGTGCTTAGTTGTCAGTCTCATTTTACTTGGAAAATTTTGCACTTTTTTTTTCTGCGGTTTTCTCCAACTGCACTGAGACAAATTATAGGTTTGGTCCAAGGTTAAAAATTAACATGGTATATACAACAGAAATTTGTCATAAATAGAGTACAGGGGAGAAACTAGAAGCTTGTTGGAAAGGAAGTGAGACAGAACACGAAAAATAAACTTTTGTGAAAATAGATCAGAGTTGAAGATCTCAGTGAAACTGAAATGCAGATATTTTGGCAGTGACCATAGATGACATGAAAATATATATTAGAGCTTAAGGTTTCAGAAGAGTAGCAGATAAGATGTGTGTTCTTGCTACAGAACTGAGTGACAGAGTAGAGGTGAAAGCCTTTAGAGTTTGCCTAAACAAACCTACATAAACGTTTGTTTATTCATCCTAAATAAGGAGGAAGGACAGCATGAGATATGTGCCAACAGCATGCATTTTGGAGGTAATGGAGTTCTGAGTTTTGAGTTTCAGATGGAGGAGTAGTTTTAGTTTTTGGTTTTTTTTTTTTTTGCTTCTTATTTTTTTGATGGTATGAGATTTGAACTCAGCTAGGCAAGCACTCTACACTTGAGCCACTCCACCAGCCCTAATTTTTGTTGTTTTTCTTTTGTTTTGTTTTGCAGTAGTTAGAGGATTACAAGGTTGAAACTCCATGAGATCAGGGCTGGGTCTTTTGCTCCCTCCTCCTCTAGCCCCTGTGTCTAATACAGTACTCTGTAGAGTAGGTACTCAGTAATTTTTTTTTTTTTTCAGCAGCGGAGTTCAAATCCAGAGCCTTGTGTATGCTAGGCAAGTGCTGTACCACTGAGCTACACCCCTAACTCCAATAAATATTTTTGGTAGAATGAAGTAGGAACATTCCAGAGGCCTATATGAGAGAGATAATGACTTGTGGAAGAGACAAGCTTTAGTGATAAACAGAAGTAGAGAAAACCTGCTGAGTCATCAGTCATTTTATTTGAAAAATTTGATGGCTGAGCTCAGTATGGTGGTATACATCTATACTCCCAGGACTTGGGTTGTGGAAGCAGGAGGATCAAGAGTTCACAGCCAGCCTTGGCAAAAGTCAGTGACAACTTCCTGTCTCAAAAACAAAGTACAAATAAAAGTGCTGAAAGCTAACTCAAGTGGTAGAGTGCATGTCTAGCAAGCATGAGGCCCTGGGTTCAATCCCCACTATGAAAAAAGGAAATAAATTAGTGGAAGGCAGTGATTCTTGGTATTTCAAGAAAGTTAATATAAGCCTAGTGGTAATAGCTCATGCTTGTAATCCTATCTACTTAGGAAACTGAGATCAGGGGATCACAGTTCCAGGCCAACCCAGGCAAAAAAGTTTTCAAGACCTTATCTCAGTGGAAAAAAAAGCTGGATATGTGCCTGTCATCCCAGCAACGGTGGGAAGCATAAAATACGAGAATCACAGTTCAGACCAGCCTGGGCAAAGACCAAGACCCTATCTCTATAATAACCAGAGCAAAAGAGCTATAGATGTGGCTTAAGTGGTAGAGTACAAGGCCCTGAGTTCAAACCCCAGTATCAGCAAAATAAAGAAAAAGGGCCAGACTGAGATCCGGAGGATCTCCATTAAAGGCCTGCCTGGGCATATAGTTTTTGAGACCCCCATCAACAAAATAACCAGAGCAACATGGACAGGAGGTGTGGATCAAGTGGTAAAAGCCCTGTTTTGGGAGCTTGAAGCCCTGAGTTCAACCCCAGTCCTGAAAAAAAAAGTTAATACGTTCAGTGTCTAAGCATAATTTTGAAGGTCTTTTTGGCACTGCAACTATTTTAACAAGACTATAAGTATATAGAATGACCTGAGAAAAAAATATTACTTTGTTTTTTAAAAATGTTTTTCTCCCCTTAATTTGTTACCAGAAAAAAAAAGTGAACAAGAATTAAAAGATGAAGAAATGGGTTTATTTACCAAATACTACTCAGAATGGAAAGGAGGTAGAAGAAACACAAATGAATTCTATAAGACCATTCCTCGATTTTATTACAGGGTAAGTAGTATCAAAGCAGGTATCTCTCAGCATCTATAAATAAGACAAAATTTCAGAACTGGAATCTGAAACTTATATTTTTAAAAGGATATTTTAAATTTTGTGTATTTGTTCATTCTAGTTGATCTTACCACTATTATAAAATTTTTTTTTCACTTCTTTTTTTTATTGTTTTATTATTCATATGTGCATACAACACTTGGGTCATTTCTCCCCCCTGCCCCCACCCCCTCCCTTACCACCCACTCCGCCCCCTCCCTCTCCCCTCCACCCCCTCAATACCCAGCAGAAACTATTTTGCCCTTATCTCTAATTTTGTTGAAGAGAGTATAAGCAATAATAGGAAGGGTTTTTGCTAGTTGAGATAAGGATAGCTGTACAGGGAGTTTACTCACATTAATTTCCTGTGCGTGTGTGTTACCTTCTAGGTTAATTCTTTTTGATCTAACCTTTTCTGTAGTTCCTGGCCCCCTTTTCCTAATGGCCTCAGTTGCTTTTACGGTATCTGTTTTAGTTTCTCTGCGTTAAGGGCCAAAATCTTGAGATTTGATATAAATTGATATAACAAAGTTGTTACTTGCCCTCTTTTTGGAACTATAGGCTTTTTCTTACAACTTTTACTATAGATAGTAGTAGTAAGTTCTATTGGATTATGTTGTGCAACACTTTGTTATGAGGTGCAAGGATTTTGCTCAAGGCTAAATGAAAAATAGATTAAGAATGGAAAACTTCAGAGTTTCACTTAGGGCTGGTGGAATGGCTCACATGGTAGTGTCTGCCTAGCAAGCATGAGGCCCTGAGTTCAAACCCCAGTACTGCCAAAAAAGAGTTTCACTTAATTCTATGTTTCCTTGTGTCAAAACTGTAAAGAAATCTTTGATAGGGAGTATAGACCTTAAGAAAAGTATTTATAGGGACGGGTGGAGTGGCTTAAATGGTAGAGCACCTGCTTAGCAAGTGTGAGGCCCAGAGTTCAAACCCCAATACCGTCAAAAAGAAAAAAATGTATTTACATGAAAAAGTAAGGTCTACTAAAGAATAAGACCTAGTTAGTAAACTTTGGAATCTTAGCTGGATACTATTGAACATGCTATCAGCATCTTTCCCCTCCCAGTACTGGGTTTTGCACTTGTCAGGCAGGTGCTCTGTCACTTGAGCCACTCCGCCAGCTAACATGTTATCTTCTAAACTCTTACCGATTATAACATTAAAGATGGTAAACATTGTGTTTAGTGGGCATTTTAGGAATTGAGATATTAATATAAGTGAGTTATGTGGGTATATAAACATTTCTTCAAATAAAATTATTTTTCATGGGAACATTTTTTTTGGAAACCTTCCTGTAGTACTGTGCACTTCCCAGCCTTTTAAGCATTATATGACTAACCTATATTTGTTATGGAAAAGAAAAAAATAAGTTGATATTTTCTGATAATAACATCATCCAGAAATGTAAATTTAAAAATTTAACATGAATCCTTCTACATATTGCTTTGGGTATATATGTTTAACAAAAACGGATCACTTCAATACATACTTTTTCTGCTTTTTATATTTTTTCACCTTTATTAAACAGAGGCAATTTAGAAAAATAGGTTTTTGATAAAATAGGGGAAAGGAAGGGAATTAACATTTGAGTGCCTAAGTACTAAAGAGACTTTATCTCATTTAACCTACATTATCAAGTAGTATCTTACTAACCCAGAACAGCCTTAAGTTAGGAATGGTTTGATTACATACCTGAACGCAGGACTGACCTTTCATGTACTTCCAGGGCTGAATTTTTACCTTCCTCTTCTGGTTTCTGAGAGAATCCCCGTTTTCCCTATCATTTGTTATCTTCTTTCTATGAATACTCCATTATCATTTCCTGTCTTCAGCTGTGGAACTATAAAAAATTTTCCCTTTTTTCTCTCTCTACACTCTACCACTTCAGAGAAACCACCTATCATCTTCATTTACCACTTCTCTCCTTTGACAAGAGGAATGCATCATAGTTCTTGGAAATGAGAGATGAAACCTAATTTTGACAAAGGGCTACTGGGATACATTTAAAGGGGCAAAAATGTAGAAGAGGAAGAAGGAATCTAATTTAGAGCAAATTTTTCTAAAGTTAGATTGAAATGAGTCATTTGAAAGCCCTTCTTAATGGAAGTCACTTCAGTTGGCAAACCTTCCTCTTTGGAGGTGAACATAATATACACTGACTTGACTATTTCCAAGAAGGAACATGATCCAGTCTCAACAGACATCAGACATGCTTTCCTAAAACTGATTTATTTTATATATATATATATATATATTTTTTTTTTTTTGTGGTACTGGGGTTCAAACTAAGGGCCTCTAGACAAGTACTCTACCATTTGAGCCACACTCTAGCCCCAAACTGTCAATCTTAAACTAGTCCTAATTTAATTTGGTATCACTCTAAGGTAACAATGGAAATACAGTGCTTTAAGAGTACAAAATGAGGGTTAAGGGGTGTAGCTCAGTGGTAGCATGTCTTCCCAACATGTGCAAGGTCCTGTATTTGATCCCCATTACTGCTAAGTAATTAAACTTGAACTAGATTATTAGCTTTTTCAGGGCAGAAATTTGGCATTACTGACCACTAAATTCTTTGTGGATATATTTTTGTTAAATGAATGTTAAGCAAAATTAAGATAACAAGTAATTTGAAGCAGAAGCATGTAGTTACTTCATGAGGCCATATAACATTTTACATGATCTAGTAGTTTAATATTTTCATGTAGAAATCTACAATGTATTTTTTAGTTGCCAGCTGAAGATGAAGTCTTACTACAGAAATTAAGAGAGGAATCCAGAGCTGTCTTTCTACAAAGGAAAAGCAGAGAACTCTTAGATAATGAAGAATTACAGGTAAGAATGGACTACCTAAGTCATGCAGGATCTCATCAGGCCTAATGAGTCAGTTCTACAGAGTGGTACTGCATAGGCTGTTAAAGCAGAGTACCAACCAGAATTAACTGCTGACCTTCAAGGTCATGTATCCCAAGAATAGTGTCATTAAGCTTATCTTTAAGTTCCAAGGTTATTCTAATGTACAGCCAAGGTTGAGAACCATTACTATAGAGTCACATTGTAGAGGTTCAAATCCTAGCCTTGCTGTGTGACTTTAGGCAATGAACTTAACATCTATATTTCAGTTCTCATCTATAAAGTAGGGATAACTGCCTATATGGATTACAGGCATTATATTTGAAAAACTTAAAAACTTTAGTAGACAGTAAGTATTAGCTATTTGTGTTAGTAGTCAGGAGGAATGAGGGGCACAAGATTCATCTTAATATTAACTCCTTGCTATCAGACTGTCATTTTAATGGAAATGATGCTAAGCTATACTTTTTTAAAGGTTTTAACTTTCTAACATCTCCATTTCCATAATTCTCTTAAGAATTTATGGTTTTTGCTGGATAAACACCAGACACCACCTATGATTGGAGAGGAAGCAATGATCAATTATGAAAATTTCTTGAAGGTTGGTGAAAAGGCTGGACCAAAGTGCAAGTAAGAATAATAACTGAAAAGGATTTAAGCATTTTAAGTGCCTAAATAGTAATAAAATTGAAGTCACTGGTGTGACATTCGAACCAATTTGAGCTAATGAAATTTAAGAAAACTTTTTACAATCAAGAAAATATTGTTGGTATGAGTTATTTTAAAAAACTGCATTGGGCTGGGGTATGACTCAAGTGGTAAAGCACCTGCCTAGCAAGCACCAGACCTTGAGTTCCAATCGCAGTACTGCCTCCTCCCCCACAAAAAAGAAAGAAAAAGAAATAATATAGTAACATTTTTTCTTTTTTTTTAGGTGGGGGGGTACTAGGATTTGAACTAAGGGCCTCATGCTTGGTAGGCACTCTACCACATGAGCCACTCTGCCAGCCTTAGTTAGTGACATTTTGGGCCTTTATTTCTTAATACAGAAGAATGCAAAGAAAAGAAAAATACAGTCAATATGTATGACTTAATTGTTCAATGTTTTGGAGTCTAAGTAGTCTTTATAGTTCTTTGACTTTTAATCATATGAACTTATGCTGTTGTTTGCTAATTACCTTAATCTTCATTTCCTTTTCTTAGGCAGTTTTTCACCGCAAAAGTTTTTGCTAAACTCCTTCATACAGATTCATACGGAAGAATTTCCATCATGCAGTTCTTTAACTATGTCATGAGAAAAGGTGATTTGTCTTTTTAATTGTGTATAAATTCCTGTCTTGAGAATCAAGATATTTAGTCTGTGCTTTTATAGTATTTTTTCCATGTAATACAACTCTATTTCTAAGTCTGCATAGCAGAATTTAGATATATTTTTATACTACTATTGTCTTTCTTTCATGAAGCTTAATTACTTATAATTTTATATCACCAGTATATTACAGGTTGAGTTGCTTGAAAGCATAGTCTCAAACCCACAACTGTTTCAAGGAACTTCTATTAGACAACTTGGAGTTGTTAGAATCCTTCAAGAACCCTACTGTGTACCATCTTTAACTAATACACTTGGCTGTATAATTAACCTCAGTACAATAAAAAACAGCTCCACTGAAGACATAACATGCTAGCTGTCCCTATTTGATGAAACAGCAAGTTTAATAGGTTAAGAACAGTATCCCCAAGGGCATCAATTTTACTGTAGCTGCAGATATTATAGAATTGTTGAAATCTGCCACTTTATGCCATCGTTTTGTTTCAAACAGTTTGGGGGGGGAAGCTAATGACTATTTAATGTGCGAGAAGAAATAGGCATATGTAATTGTTGGATTGGTTTATAATTCATCCAGCTTCTCTTTTTCATATTTATGCTAAAGAATAGATGATAATAGTTACATTTCATTTTGTTTGTCAGTTTGGCTTCATCAAACAAGAATAGGACTCAGTTTATATGATGTCGCTGGGCAAGGATACCTTCGAGAATCTGTAAGTATTAACCTAATTTTAGTAATTATTTTAGATACAAAAATATTAATAGCAATTATCACTGAGTGTTGAGATTACAGGTGAATCTCATTTTGTTTCTCTGATTTTAAGGTGTTTGTTTTTGCTTTTACAAACATGTTCTGAAAAAAATTTTTTTAAATTGTTTTATTATTCATATGTGCATACAATGCTTGGTTCATTTCTCCCCCCTGCCCCCACCCCCTCTCTTACCACCCACTCCGCCCCCTCCCTCTCCCCCTAACCTCAATACCCAGCAGAAACTATTTTGCCCTTATTTCTAATTTTGTTGTAGAGAGAGTATAAGCAATAATAGGAAGGAACAAGGGTTTTTGCTGGTTGAGATAAGGATAGCTATACAGGGCGTTGACTCACGTTGATTTCCTGTGCGTGTGTGTTACCTTCTAGGTTAATTCTTTTTGATCAACCTTTTCTCTAGTTCCTGGTCCCCTTTTCCTATTGGCCTCAGTTGCTTTTAAGGTATCTGCTTTAGTTTCTCTGCATTAAGGGCAACAAATGCTAGCTAGTTTTTTAGGTGTCTTACCTATCCTCACCCCTCCCTTGTGTGCTCTCGCTTTTATCATGTGCTCAAAGTCCAATCCCCTTGTTGTGTTTGCCCTTGATCTAATGTCCACATATGAGGGAGAACATACGATTTTTGGTCTTTTGGGCCAGGCTAACCTCACTCAGAATGATGTTCTCCAATTCCATCCATTTACCAGCGAATGATAACATTTCATTCTTCTTCATGGCTGCATAAAATTCCATTGTGTATAGATACCACATTTTCTTAATCCATTCGTCAGTAGTGGGGCATCTTGGCTGTTTCCATAACTTGGCTATTGTGAATAGTGCTGCAATAAACATGGGTGTGCAGGTGCCTCTGGAGTAACCTGTGTCACAGTCTTTTGGGTATATCCCCAAGAGTGGTATTGCTGGATCAAATGGTAGATCAATGTTTAGCTTTTTAAGTAGCCTCCAGATTTTTTTCCAGAGTGGTTGTACTAGTTTACATTCCCACCAACAGTGTAAGAGGGTTCCTTTTTCCCCGTATCCTCGCCAACACCTGTTGCTGGTGGTGTTGCTGATGATGGCTATTCTAACAGGGGTGAGGTAGAATCTTAGTGTGGTTTTAATTTGCATTTCCTTTATTGCTAGAGATGGTGAGCATTTTTTCATGTGTTTTTTGGCCATTTGAATTTCTTCTTTTGAGAAAGTTCTGTTTAGTTCACTTGCCCATTTCTTTATTGGTTCATTAGTTTGGGGAGAATTTAGTTAAGTTCCCTGTATATTCTGGTTATCAGTCCTTTGTCTGATGTGTAGCTGGAAAATATTTTCTCCCACTCTGTGGGTGTTCTCTTCAGTTTAGAGACCATTTCTTTTGATGAGCAGAAGCTTTTTAGTTTTATGAGGTCCCATTTATCTATGCTATCTCTTAGTTGCTGTGCTGCTGGGGTTCTGTTGAGAAAATTCTTACCTATACCTACTAACTCCAGAGTATTTCCTACTCTTCCTGTATCAACTTTAGAGTTTGTGGTCTGATTGATCTTGATCCATTTTGAGTTAATATTGTATAGGGTGATATACTGGATTAGTTTCGATTTTATTGCAGACTGCTAACCAGTTTTCCCAGTTTTTTTAAGAGGCTGCTATTTCTCATCGTATATTTTTAAGCTCCTTTGTCAAGACAAGTTGGTTATAGTTGTGTGCTTATATCTGGGTCCTATTCTGTTCCACTGGTCTTCATGTCTGTTTTTGTGCCAGTACCATGCCATTTTTATTGTTATTGCTTTGTAATATAGTTTGAAGTCAGGTATCGTGATACCTCCACTAAAAAAATTTTAATGTATGTTAACCATATAAATTTTTTGGATTCTTTTTCTTTAACCTTTAAAATACACCTTTTTAAAATAGAAAACAAGCTGGGCACTGGTGGCTCACACCTGTAATCCTAGCTACTCGGGAGGCAGAGATCAAGAGGATCGAGGTTCGAAGCCAGCCCAGGGAAATAGTTCACAAGACCCTGTCTTGAAAAACCCTTCACAAAAATACAGCTGGTGGAGTGGCTGAAGGTGAAAGCCCTGAGTTCAAGCCCCAGAACTGCAAAAACTAATTAATTAATTTAATTAAAATAAAATAGAAAACAAGAAGAATGCAGTTATTTTAGCAGGTTTAGAAATCATTGATGATACAGTGAAAACGTCTGGGTATTCTCGAATATCAATGTGTGATTATTTTAAGAAGAACCAGGAATTTTCCTTCTTTTAGAAAATACAGGAGAAAATTAATATAAGTGTATTCTACCAGTAGGTTTAGGAATGTGAGGTCAGTTACCAAGGAAATACTTATTTCAATTAGGTACTAATATAATTAGGCCAAGTTACCAACAGGGAATTATAACCTCATGATCCAAATGGCTATACTTCTTATAAGTGTTAGAATCTAAATTATATAGACAAACTTCTTAAAAAACTCAGGCTTTTTTCCATCCAATATGGAGTCCATTTTTTAGAGTTGTTGGGGAGAGGGGAAGGGAGTTAGTCATAAATATGAATGAGGTTAATTAATAATTATTGAAATATAAGAGTTTTTGATCATGTTATTTATTTTATTAAACTTCATTAGTTTTCAAAAATTCACATGTCTTAGCATAGCATGTCTGCCCCTGTGCTATAGTATTCTCTTTCATCTACCATGTTTATATCCTGCAATGTGACCATCTTTCACCTTTGTAAATGTCTGCATTGTTCATAGAAGATATTTCATTCTTACCTTATAACTCCTACTCACCCAACATAAGATTTAAAGTTTGTTGTGGTTCTTGTTATTTGTTGCAGTTATTTGTTGTTGTTATTTTGAACATTCACACTATGAAACCTGTTTCTCAGGCCACAGTACAATTCTGTCCTTTAAGATGCAGACCAAGCGTGGCTCAAGTGGCAGAGGCTTACCTGGGAAGCACAAGGCTCCAAGTTCAAAACATCAGTACCTCCAGAAAAAGATTCCGACCAATTTGACAATAAAAAGCTCTTGCATTCATTCTTCTCCATAGGAACAGAAGGAAGCCAGTATAGCTAGAGTACAGGAACAAAGGTTAAAGCAGCAAGAGATAAAGTCAGAAAAGTAGGCAGGGGCTACATGTAGGGCCTTTTAGTCTGTGGTAAAGAGTGTGGATTTTATATTGAGGCTAAATAGAAAGTCTGGATATTGTTTACATGTTTAAAGATCATTTTGAATATTATGTGGAAGATGGTAAGAAGCCTAGGATTGAGATAGGAATAGTTAGGCAGCTACTGCAGTAGACAAGTGAGAGAGCAGTGGTCCTGACCAGGGTGATTTTTGGCTATAGACAAAGCTAGAAATAAATTCAATACATATTTTGGACAAGAGCTTCCCACTCAAAAAATTAAACCTACACTTGCTGCTAGATTGGATGTTGGGGGTAAGAAGCTAAAGAGACTTTTAAATATATAAACTTGGAATATGGAAAAACTTTCTAACTATGACAAAATTCAGAAGTCTAAAAAACAATATAGTTAGCTAAATTTTAAAACATGTAGGACAAAGACCTTTATAGACAAAGTTAAAACAAACTGGGAAGGATATCTGAAACTCAGTCACAAAGACCAATTACCCTAATATATCAAAAGCTCCTAGAAATAAAGAAAAAGGCCATTAGTCCAGTTAGAAAAGGATATAGTGTACAGAATGTAAAATACAAATGCTTCATAATTGTAAGAAAAAAAATTTTACTTCACAGAAGAAAAATGTCAAATCTACAATAAAGATACCATCTTTCATCTATGAAATAAGCAAAGATCAAAAAGTTTGATGTTGCTTATAATGAGATCTTCAGTGTCTTAATGATTTTTCATACCACCTGTGGATCAAAAGAAATCCCTAACATAGAAAAAACAAAAATAAAATCTTAATAGTTCCATTTATTAGCCAGTTCTAAATAATTTAATGAAAGTATTCATTAAGCTTATTATCCTGTTAGCCATTGAAAAAAACAGTACATGTAAGTTGAAAGAAATTAATACTTTTACTTCATTCTTAAATTACTAATGGGATGTGTGTACCCATAGAGCACTGTACAATTCAAACTTGAAAATTAGATTGGACACAGTAATCCTTATTTCCTATTTACATAGATTTTGGGGTGGACACTCAGTTTATCACATTGAAAACATTGAAAACCCAGCTTTGCAAAGATTTATGCCATCAAAAGGAATATATTGCATTATAATGTGAACTTTGTAGCTCATACCAGTATCTGCCACGCAGTGTCCAACTCACTATATTTCCTTCAAACTTTTAAAATACCCTGCTGCATCCCTGTGAGTTCATTGTAGTGCTCTTGGGGTACCTGGGTGCATAATTTGGGATCTCTGGAAATTGTCTATCAGTGGTGGGGATGTAAAATGCGTATGGCCTTTACTGGGAGGTGGGAAGTCTCCCATGTCTATCACAATTATACACTTTGACCCAGAAGTTCTACATATGGAAAGTGTATGCTATATTCTTCCACAATGTCTCTGAATGAAAAATTAGCTTAGCCCTGATGGTATTGTCTTTAAATGTAGTAAAAGATTTCTATAGGTTGTTTCTAATCTTTTACTGTACTAAAAGATTTCTAATCCTTACTGAACAGTGTCTATTAGTACAGGCTTAGTTAAATAAATTATGGCATGTCCATATAATAAAATAGTAGCTCTTACAGCCTATATGAAATGACTGTAAAGTATACGGTTAAATGAGAAAAGCAGTTTTCATACTATACTGCTACGTTCTATATAAAAAGAGGAAGAGAAATACATGTAGAGATGTACTGGTTTATATGTGCATCAGTATTTTTAGAAGGCCAGATTAGAAGTTGATAATATAACCTGGGCATTTTGGCACTCATCTTTAATCCCACCTACTCGGGAAGCAGGAGGATAATTCCTTGAGCTCAGATTGTCAAGGACAGCCTGGGCAATGTAGTAAGATAGAAGTCTCAAAAAAGAGAAAAGTTAATAGTATAGGTTATCTCTAGAGAGAGAAAATCGGTGAAAGGAGACTTTTTTCCTTTTGAGAAAGGTTCTCACTATGTAGCCCACACTGACCTCCGACTTAAGATCCTCCTGTCTCAGCCTCCCCAGTGTTGAGATTACAGACATGTACTACTGTACTCAGCTAACAATTTTTTTTTTTTGAGACAGGGCCTCACTGTGTAACCCAGGGCAGCCTTGAACTCATGATCCTCAGTTTCCCAAATGCTAGGATTACAGGCATGTACCACCAAGCTGGCATATCTAATACAATTTTAATGCTGAACAGTTTTTAGGACTGAAATTATATTCTGATACCTAATGAAGAATCAAGATTGGATACTTAACACTTTGAATTTTTATTTTGTTTTGTTTCCAGGATTTAGAAAACTACATATTGGAACTTATCCCTACTTTGCCACAATTAGATGGACTAGAAAAATCTTTTTACTCCTTTTATGTTTGTACAGCAGTTAGGAAGTTCTTCTTCTTTTTGGACCCTCTAAGAACAGGTAAAAGAAAATCTTACCTAACTTAAGTCCGAGGATAATATTACATCTAAATCTCAAGATGAGAAGTTGAAAACTGTCACTTATTTTCCTAACATGTTATTGTCATTAACAATCTAGTGAATCTCAGAGGTAGGAAAATGTAAAAACAACAATGCCTTGGTTTAGGTTTATATAAAGATCTTTCATAGGGGCTGGCAGAGTGGCTCAAGTCGTAGAGTGCCCCCTAGTAAGTGTGAGGCCCCAAGTTCAAACCCCAGTACCACCAAAAAAAATCTTTCATGTTTGACTTGCACTAACGATACCCAGCTATGTGTCAATATGGGTGTCATATTAACCACTTTGAATATTATCAGGCACTAAGCATTTTTTTAAGGACTTTTCAAATATGTTTTTGTGTGCTTATTTATTTATTTGGTGGTACTGGAGTTTGAACTCAGGCCCTAATGCTTATAGGCTTGCTAGGCAGGTGCTCTACCACTTTGAGCCATTTCCCCAGCTCTTATGCTAAGCATTTTTACATGGAGTCTTTAATTTTATTATAACCTCATAAAGAAGGTACTATTATCCACATTTTTTTGTGTCAGGCAGCTAGATTGTCTATATAAGTAGCATTCAAACTCCCTGTCTCCTCTTAACCTCCTCTGTATTGCTTCTTATTCTACAATCTGCCAAAGAAAAAAATGGTGATAGCCTTGTTTTTTGGTTTGTTTCTTATTAGCAGCATTGTATCTCTAGTCACAAAATATTCCACAAAACTTTTGGGGGATTTTGATTGTATAATTTTAGATTTACTAATTAGATTCATAGAGTTTGGCTTATACAAGTAGATATTTTATTAAATTTTCTTTTTGTAGCAACATATAATAAAGTCTTTGAAATATAAGAGCTAGAAGTTTTAAAATATCAATTGTGATTGCTCTTGTAAAATAACACCTTTAAAAAATTAAGTTGCTTTTCTTAAAATGAAATTAACTACTTGTGTTTGTTTTTTAAAGGGAAGATAAAAATTCAAGACATTTTAGCATGCAGCTTCCTAGATGATTTACTGGAGGTAAATGTTTTTCAATTACTAAGTTATATTACTTCAGAATTGCTATCTTCTGATTATGTCTCTGTGTTCTTTAGCTCAGGGATGAGGAACTGTCCAAAGAGAGTCAAGAAACAAATTGGTTTTCTGCTCCTTCTGCACTAAGGGTTTATGGTATGTTCCCATCATATTAAATTTGAATTATTCATTCCTCAACTAATTGGGTGTTCAGGAAACAGTTTTATATACAGATTATTTTACCTTAATGTCAAAGTATCTTAATTGCTTTATGATCTAGTATTTTAGGCAACTAAAATTTACTTGTTTAAAATACCAGTGTTTTAACTTTTTGGAACCCTTTTTGAGTTACTGCACTTTCTTTCCGGTGGAATCAAACTGATGTAATTTGATCCTTATTGACTCAGGGACCTCACTGTCATCTTGCTTTATGACAAAAATGTTCTCAGGATTCACAGAGGATTTCCAAGGATTGGTTTGCTGTTTTATTGATTTTCATTAACTGTTACACTGTCAGCTGATCTTCTGATTAATTTTGAGATCCATGAGATTTACTTTAAAATTGAAAGTATTTAAGTGCTTTTTGTTGACCCCTCCCTTCAATTTAGAAATCTAAGAATGTTTTAAAAGGTTGCAAACTGAAAACAAAAGTGTAAGTGAAACAGCCCAAAGACCACAGCCTTTGTGATGGGTTTTCCTTGATTCTAGATTAATTGTTGTTTTAATCAAGGTTTCAAGGATTACTGATGTTATTACACATAACTCACTATCTTAACTGTGACATAATTATTTTCATTTCAAAATGAAAATATTAACCAACAAAAAGAAGTTTTTGTTAATGTCCTTTTTTTCAGGGGTGGGGGAGGGAGACAGTATTGGGATTTGAACTCAGGGACTTATACTTGATAGGCAGGTGCTCTCCATTATCTTTTACTTTAAAAAAATTTTAGCCCTAAGTATCTTCTTTTTCTTCCCAAGGTCAGTATTTGAATCTCGATAAGGATCATAATGGCATGCTGAGTAAAGAAGAACTCTCCCGCTATGGAACAGCAACCATGACCAATGTCTTCTTAGATCGTGTGTTCCAGGAATGTCTCACTTATGATGGAGAAATGGTAATGGTTTCAATCTGTTGATAAGTTTAAAAATTTAGGCTCCTGCAGTTTTTCCAAGCCCTTTTCTTGATGTGATTCAGTATTATTACTATCAGTGTATAATAGTATCTTAAAAAGTATAAATAATCAAATTACTTGATATTTGGAGCCTTTGCTCTTAAGGTAAATTCACTTAAAAATACTTCCCATAAGGACTCAGAGCAAATAGAAAAAATTCAGTATTTTGTTTCATTGTCATAAGAGTTGAGAAATATGAAAAACTAGTAACACTTATTGACTGTTTCTATATAAATAGTTCAGTCATTAAATTATCAGGTCTTCATATACTAATAAAAATGTTTTAAAAAAATTACCAGTTCTGACATAGTACTGCATATGCCATGATTTGAATCTGAGAATCAGGTTGTGTTAGTCTGTCTATAGTAGTAGCAGAATATAACAACCTGCAGTTGTCCTTTTCATTCATAGAAAACTTGGGAATCTGATTACACTTAATTTTACAGTTTATGGCTTAGTTTTATGTAGTTGAATATAGAAGTAGATTTTATTAAATGTTCCCTTATGTTCTCAAAATACTTAAGAAGGAAAATTCTAAATAGAGTTTTTAAATCACCATTCTTGATATAAAAAATAAGTAGTAAGGATATAATTTTTTTCAACCCAATAATGCTTAAGAAATAGACAAAAATGGAGTTTTACATTTTATCATTTAACTTTAAGTAGTTTGCTAAATAGCATGACTATTAGCAAACAGCAAAGAAAGGGGTGGGGGAGGAGGTGGCACAGAAACTGTTTTTGTGACTCACATAGCTCTTGTCAGTAGACTGATGAATAACAAACATCAGATGCCATAAGTGGATGATTTTAAGCCATAATGAAGTGCTACTTCTTTAACTTTTTATACTGCAATTTATATAGAAGGCATTGTTAGTCTTAGCCTACACTATCTTTCCAAAAATACAGGCTTTTTTTCCAAGTGAGGATTTCCTAAGTGTTTTATTTTTCACCATACAAAATAAGTACTATCCACAAGTGTCCCTTTTTCAAAAGGAAAGATTTCTGTTCTTTTCATGTCTTTCTAGCTCTCCTTTAGATTCCTTTACCTTTTTTTGCAGGGGACGAGGCGGGTGGGGGGGGGGCATGTGCTAGGGTTTGAACTGAAGGCTTTGTGCTTACAATGCAGGCATTCTATCATATGAACCACAGCACTAGGTCTTCCTTTCTATTTTTTTATTTTTGATGAGAACAATTTCCTTACTAGAAATCATATGATTTAAACATTTTAAACAGTTGTCCATCGTATCTGCAGATTGGTTCCAGGATCTCCTTCAGCTACCAAAATGCAGATGCTCTGAAGTCCCTTATATAAAATGGTATATTTGTATATAATCTATATACTTCTTCCAAGTATACTTTAATCATTTCTAGATTTCTTATAATACACTATGTATAACTAGTTATATTGTGTTGTTTAAGGAATAATAACAAGGAAAAAAGTCTGTCAGATACAGATAGAATTTTTCTTGAACTATTTTCAGTTCATAGACGCCAAACCCACAAATATGGAGTATTTACTGTATTCCAAAATAGCTGTTTAAATATAATGTTCTATTCATTCCAAACTTTTTTTTCTAAATAGCCACACTGAAATGAAGATATAAATTTAATGGCAACCTATGATAGCTTAGTTACTGCCTTGTCTGTTTTAAAAATATAATGAAAATTATAGCTTAAAACAGAAAATCTCATTTTGAGCAGGGTCCTCCAAAACTGTCCTGCACAGATTAGAATTACTTAGAATTCCTATAAACCAACATTAAATGTACCAATGGATTTATTTCATACTAAGTTAAGAAAAAAATTAATTTGCCACCTATGATTGAGAAATATCTTCAAATCATCAGATAGTCACTTGAAAAATTAACTTCAACTAAGGCCTTTTATGAACATTTTTCTCTAGGACTATAAGACCTACTTGGACTTTGTTCTTGCCTTAGAAAACAGAAAGGAACCTGCTGCCCTGCAATATATTTTCAAACTGCTTGATATTGAGAACAAGGGATATCTGAATGTCTTTTCCCTTAATTATTTCTTTAGGGTAAGTATGGTTTGGGTAAAGAGGCATTGTTCCTTGAGATATATTATGCCATTTGGCTTAAATTATGTATTAGTGACTGCCAATTTTACTTAATTTGGGATTTTAAAATTTAACAGAAGACTTTCTATAACAGATTTCAAAATCAAGTCTGTTGGGTTTTGTTGTTTTGTTTCCTCCTGTTTTTAAGAAACAAAGCTGATTTGATTAGTAGATGTAGAATATTTTAAAAGTGTGTAAATAAATGTTAGTAGTTGTACTAGCCTTTGGAGATGAGAAATTCTGTTCTCTTGATCAGAAACTACTGTATAAAATTCTGTTTTAAACTAGTTCCTTTCCAAGGAAGTGGGTTGTTTGTTCTGTTTTTACAGTGCTGGGGTTTGAACTTAGGGCCTTACGCTTGCCAGGCAAGCACACTACCACTTAAACACGCTGCTAGCTCTTTTTACTTCAGCTTGTTTTTGAGATAGGGTCACATGCTTTTGCCTGGGCTCACCTTGGACTTCATATCTCCTCCCTTTGCATCCCAAGTACTGGGATTACAGGCATGAACCACTATACCCAGTCCTTTCCAGGGAAGTTTTACAGACATTAGTCATAGAGATTCATTTAATTACTGTGTTGTAAAAAATAATTATTTTATACTGGCCAGAATTGTATGCTGCATTTCATTGTGAAACATACTTGCTGACTTTGCTGAAACACTTATCTTCTGCCTTAGTTGGTCTCAGAGAATAATGATGGAATTTGATCGCATCTGATAAGCATTCAGGTGCCAACAGGTATAAAAGTAGTAATATCTACCCTTGTGAGGCACAGGATTCCTTCATTTGAGTGGTAACTTTTCTACTTGATGGAGAATAGTTTCATACAGTTGTGTTTTGTTCTACCACATTTTCATAGATAGGTTTTCTGTTTTTATAAGACCATGTGCTTTTTATATGGCAAGATAAACAGCAGAAAGAAAGGGGTTTTTTAAGACAATAAAAAATGACATTTTCACAATTTTTTCATAAATCATTTCCCCATAGACCTTTTCTATTTACAAAAGTTTTGGTAGTCTTTACATAACCTTATCAAGTCTCTGAGTTCATATGAATTTCATAGTATATCTTTCATGATTTCATGTTAAATTCCCTAAAAGACTTTCCATTATAGTTTTTAGGTAGTCATGACTGCAAATATTAGAAGAAATATAAATTATAAACCCAGAATTGCAATACATTTTTAAAAAACAGAATGTGGGGCTGGAGGGGTCAGTTCAATGGTAAGCATTTGCCTAAGCATGTATGAGGCCCGTGGGTTTCATCCCAGAATAGAATTTGAATGCTTATATGGGCTTAAATCACTGGCTAATCTGAGAAGGTAACACTAATCCATCATAGGGATGCTCCACTGTTGACAAATCTATTAACTAAAAACTCAGTCTTAGAAAAACAAATGTATCTTTTGGAAATTAAACATTCAACCCCTTTTCACTAAGAGCTCCTCTTACAGCATTAAATTTCTTTTAAAAATACTTTAAAAATAAATTCATGCGTGAAACTATTTTATCACAGTTTATTTAGGTGTGATTGTATGGGCTAATAAAAAAGTTTCCAGTGCTGAGCCTCGTAATACTGAGCTGTTTGTACATTAGTACCCCAGTGATAAAGCTGGACGTGGATGGTGATTGTAAAACATAACTGTCCAAGTTTGCTATTATATTAGCTGAGTATGTACTCAGATATTCTTACCTACTTCACAGACATTCCCTGGAGGTACTCTGATCAGTGACACCCCATATAGTATAGGTATTTGGAACATACTTAGTTAACTACCAAGAATTTTAAGCTTCCTACTTTGCAATGAGAGATTCTCTCCTAAAATATTTTTTTAGTTCATTCAGTTGACAGTAGCTTCTTCAGTTATTTATTTATTTATTTATTTTGGTGAAACTGGCCTTTGAACTCAGGACTTCATGCTGCAAAGCAGGCACTCTACCACTTGAGTCACACCTCTTAATTCTTTAGTCATTTTTTGTTCTTAAAGCTTTTTAAGGGGAGAGTTTGAGGGAGGTCATCATTTTTTCTAAGAAAAAGTATAGGGTGGAAAAGGAGATGGTAGCTTGGGAGTCTTAAACAATGGTGAAGGTGGAGCTGCCCATGGGGCTCAAGTGGTAGATCAGCTCAGATCACCTGCCTAATAAGGGCAAAGCTCTGAGCTCAAACCCCAGTACTGTCAAATCCTAGTATCGCCATTGTATACATGCCTATGTATATATATGGTGAAGGTATGAACAACAATCATGGAAAATGGGAGGAGCAGACCACAAAAGAATAATTGTTAGGCCACATTGAGCATCCATTTGAGATTAGATTAGCAGCAATCTGCAGTCTTAATTTTTTTCCTCCTGAAGTTCCTAGTATGTAAGGTACAGATGTAAAAAGATCAGTAGTTACACTCATCCAGTCTGTTGTTTTGCTAACTGGATATAGAGAAAAGTCAAGAAGTAACAATTGGCAAGAGAGGTTGAGATTATGAAGTTTGGGGGTCTGATAGAAAAGAAAGTAGAAAATAGAACTATAGAAAGGGGCTGTGGGGCAAGGGGCAGATATTGTGAAGTTCATTTTTTATTTACAGACTTATTTCCACTAAATACAGGCAATACAGGAACTAATGAAAATCCACGGACAAGATCCTGTTTCATTTCAGGACGTCAAGGTTATCTTTTCCTTTATATACCACTATTAGATAATATTATTATAATAATACCAGATAATTTGTATTACATGAAATTTTAGATAAAAGCAACTTATGAACTATGCAGTATTGTTCCCAATCAGGTATTTGCTGTTACTTGTTCTGAACTAATATTTAAATGGTTGGAAACTGAGACTTGTTTGAACTCACAAATAATGTATGTAGCTTATAGTTTTAGCATGTCAGCCTTGTGTTCTCATTGAAAGCACTCACTCATTTAATTGGAAATTAAGGGAATCAGTTAAGCCTGCATCTTTTGGCAGTCTATTCCACTGTAAACTGAATCTTTAACTGGGGAGCTATTTAGGGTGAAGCATTTTTTTAGTATGCTACCTTAAAAAGTACTTGCTTTGATATGAGACTTAAAGAGAACATATGTCCTACAATATGAAAACCACCACCATTTGAAACACATGCTACTACTTAGCATTTTTTATTGTTATTCTTTGGTGGTCTGGGGTTTGAACACAGGGCTTCATGCTTGAAAGGCAGGTGCTCTACTGCTTGAGCCACATTTCCTCTACCTAGCATTTTAGTGTCACCAGCTATGAGTATAAACATTCAGTATCCAATACCTATTCAGTACAAGTTGGGTAACAATAAAATAACCTTCAACATTTTTAACCAAGTTTAAGTTTAAAGGATTATTTTGTTCAATATAAATGAGGCAAGCTAGGCGCCAGAGGCTCATGCCTATAATCCTGTCTACTCAGGAGTCAGAGATCAGGATGACTGCAGTTCAAAGCCAGTCTGGACAAATTGTTAGTGATATCCTATCTTGAAAAAACCAACCTAAAAAGGGCTGGTGGAGTGGCTCAAGTGGTAGAGTGCCTGCCTTACAGGTGTGAGGTCCTGAGTTCAAATGCCAGTACTCCCATAAATGAGGCAACTTTGTAACTCTGCAACATGTAGTTTAAAAACTAACAATTTAAAACTTCAATCTAGAAAAGGAAAATAGAGATTAAAATTTTTATACATTTTTTGTACCTGAATTGTTCTAATCTTTTGAAAATGTAATTTGCCTCCTTAAATACTACTAAAGATTCTTGACCAATTTTAATATAAAAAGATTAGAAAACAATTCCTTACATATATTTAAATTGTATACTTTATAGTGTTGAAGAGGTTCTTCCATCAATTCTAGTAAGTTTTTTTGGAACAATTTAGTATCATTCTGAGTGTCTTAATTCTTTAATACTAAACTCCCCACTCTATCCTAGATCTAGAGTAAAAGATTGATGTCATTGTTAGAAATGAAGCTTTGTCATTATCTCTGAAGCATTTAAATGTTTAACTTAGTTACTGAGTTTTTACTTAAAACTAAATGGCAGAGCACTTGCATGACACCCTGGATTTGATCCCTAGACAGTGACATGACATAGAAAAAACCAAGACATTGTTTCATCAACTATAGAAAAGTATAAGTTGTATGTATTCAAAGAACACTAAACTAGATCGTTCTAACACTTAATTAGCTATGTAGCTTGGATTAAACTCTAAGCCTTAGTGTCTCCATCTATAAAATAAGGGATAGCTATCACATAGCTAAGGAATCTTCCAATAAAATTCTGTGATTGTAAGGTAAAGGAGATTTCCTATCTTCTAAATGGAAAAAAAATTGTTTTTACATAGGCTCCAATTCCTGCCCTGAATTTTAGATCACTGTGTGATAGAAATAAATTGAATCAGATTTCATTCTGTTTTTTTCTCTTGCAGGATGAAATCTTTGACATGGTAAAACCAAAGGATCCTTTGAAAATCTCTCTTCAGGATTTAATCAACAGTAATCAAGGAGACACGGTCACTACCATTCTAATTGATCTGAATGGCTTCTGGACTTACGAGAACAGAGAAGCCCTTGTTGCAAATGACAGTGAAAACTCTGCAGACCTTGATGATACATGATCTCTGAAGGACTAGACTTGATTCATTAAGATGCTTGAATACTGCATGTTAAACCTTTGAAGCAGAGTCCTTAGAAATGATCTAAATAAAACAATTCATATGTCTAAAGAACACAGCAAATGTTTTGGTTACTGGAAATTTGGTTGCACTAGTTTGGAAACAGCAGGACCAAATACGGCTTTTTCTGAGGTAGTAAGTTCTGGTTCCATTTACCTCAAAAACGGCAATTGTGATTTAATGTAGGTACAGGGTATTCAGTTTATATAGTATTTAGAGATAAAGGCAATTTTCATGTAACATTTCTGACATTCAGACTTAGAACATTTGAGGGATGGTTTAAATTATTAATGTAATCATTTAACCTTCAGTCTTCTAAAACGTGTATATCAAAGGATATTAGGCTTTTCCATTAAATTACAATCATGTCATTTATGGATTAGAAGTGTTTGAGCATGATCTTTCTTTTATACTAGGTTTCCATAAAAAGTATTCTAATATCTTTCTTTCATTAAAATCTCTGGTATAAAAACTGCCTAGCTGAGTGCCAAAGGCTCATGCCTAGTTACTCAGGAGGCAGAGACCAGGAGCATCTTGGTTTGAGGCCAGCCGGTACAAATAGTTTTAGAGACCGTATCTCAAAAATACCTGACACAAAAAAGGGCTGGCAAAATGGCTCAAGTAGTAGAGTACTTACCTATCAAGCATGAGGCCAAGTTCAGACCCCAATTCCACAAAAAAAAAAAAAAAAAAAATTTAACCAGTACTAGGGTTACATTTACGAAACTGTAACTCCATTTTTAAGTATGTTTGTTAGAGAACTTGTTAATTCATTATAAAGGTTTTTCCACTATACTAGTGTGTTTAGTTTTATTTTATTCTTTGAAGTACTGGGGTTAGGACCTTGTGCTTGCTAGGCAGTTGCTTTACCACTTCAGCCATGCCCCCAGCTCTAGTTTTGGTTGAGACAGGGTCTTGCTGTAACTCAGGCTGGCCTCCTTAGATTCATGATCTTCCTGCCTCAGCCTCCTGAGTGCTAAGATTATGGCATGTACCACTAGGCCCAGCTTCTGCATAGTTTTTATGAGAAGATTAGAAGTAGAATGTTAGGAACTGCAATCCAGGGAAAGTAACTCTTCAAAGGATTAAAAAGTAGGAAAAAGTGAAAGAGGCTTAAAATAAGACAAACCGTTTAATGCATTTATGGGAAATTTCATAGTTTGAATAAACAAAATATAAAAATTTAAGGCACTATAAGCATTATTAACTGGCCACAATAGGACAAGTAGTGAAAGTAAAATTCAAGAAACATCACTTATCTCCCTTCTGTTATAGTAAGAAAAGTTTGTAAACTCTTTTAGATACTAATGCCCTTAGGAAGAGAAAATTCAGAAGATCACTCCTAGACACACACCTGTCTTTACCTAACAACCAAATAAATATCTGAGTTTAGGTACTATCTCTAAGTTAAAACAAAATGGAAGGAAGAGGTCAGGCTAGCATGTTTTAGAGCTGTTAGTAAACTAATTTATAGTGACATTAATTATATAATCTAAAGATTAATCCTTTAAGCATTGAGCTATATAGTTTATACCCATGAATAAAAAGATTATCATCACATATTCTGAACCACCATACCATGAATCCATACAACTAAAGAATAAAATTTGAACTTAATTTATGTTCATTGATAACAGATTTCCATAATCCCACTATACACGTGCTTTGAGTTTCTCTTAAGCTGTATTTTACCCAAATTTAAGCTTGAAACCTTAATGCTGTTCAGAGTGTTAACCATTAATTTCTAAAAGCTCTTAAGTTTGAGAAAAGACTTTTTAAGATCAGCATTTCTAAAATACTCCACACACTTTTCTTTATCCATGTTTAGTTATAAGTCAAAGTCATACAGCAATTTCACAAGGTTCTGTATACACATTTAGGAATATCTTCAAAATAAACTTCATATAGCCTTGTAAAATTTGTGAATAACCTAGTAGATGGAAATAGCCGACATGATTCAAATAAACTGTCCATTTTACTGTTGCTACTGTGAATGATAAGTAATTTTATTGTTACTATTGTACCCTGTATAATATTTAACAGCTCCTGATGGGTTAACTCTACCTATGTCCCTCAATTCCCTATCCCACAACTACTTTGCCACTAGGACACATGAAGGGCTGAATGAGTGACATACCAGTATACCATGTAGATAATCATTAGATTTTTACCATTTGATTATAAATACATTAATAAATGCATTCAACTACTTACTTAATTTGAACAACTAGTGAAAAGAATACAAAATTAAATGTCTTTAAAAATGAAATCCCATCTTAATGTCAGGGTTTTCCATAAAATAGTGCTTCTCAATGAACGAAAATTCAAAGTGCTTCCATCTTGCTCCTTTTTTATTATTCAATCAGCACACCATTCTTAGTGTGAAATTAATAGATATACTAAATGCAAAGGATAACATGAGAAAATGTAGGGGGAAAATTCCTCATTTTCATTTGAGTCTATAGGATTATCAAATCCAATTAGCTTTCATCAACTTAGATTTTTGGGGAACAAATAGACTAGCTTGATAATTTAACTCTTCTTAACTGACTAGGGCTCTACAATACCAACTTTTTAAAAAGATCATTTTAAAACCAAAGCACTGGGCTGACAATATAGCTCAGTCAGAGAGCTTGCTTACCATCCACAGAGGCTGGGTTTGAGCCCCAGCAGTGCAAAGAGGGGAAAAAAAAACCCACTAATTTGACACAGTAAAAATACAGTATAAATATCCAAAGTTCAGGTCTGATTTTTCCTACACAGAGCCTAAGAATGAGGAAACATTTTCCCTTTCCAGATAATAATTTAAAATATAAATAATTGTTTTAAGTCACACTGAATAGAGAATATGAAATGTTCCTGGTATAAAAAACCTTAGGGTTTGATGTTTTGATAGTCATTTCATTCTATGGTGGGACAGAGACTGGGTTTTGTTTGCTTTCCTTAATTGCTTCACAGTCTTCCTCCATTTCAAAATTAATATTCACAAATGAACTGGATACCCCTGTTTCTGGTTGATCTGTCTGAACAATGGACTCAGTGTGCAGCTTATTTTGTTGATACTGTCTTTCTGCTTCTTCAGACATCCTGTTTTCTTCTTCTTCTTCTTCTTCCTAAAAATGGGAAGTATCAATAATTGAGATAATAATGTCCTAAAGGAACAGTATTTCTCCTAACTGGCAGCTTTTTGTATCTTTTTTTTTTTAAGCCAAAACTTTGGCATCGTGTTCAATTAAGAAGTGTTCTGGGCTGGGGATGTAGGTCAGTGTCAAAGTGCTTGCCTAACATGCACAAGGCCTTGGGTTTGATCCCCAGCAGTAGCACCACCACCAAAAAAATAAAGGATACCATCCCTTCCCTGTTCCCAAAATAAAATAACTATTGTAGAACTGTTACAGAACATATCAAAGAAAGCAAGTTGTGTTTTGTTTTTTTTGGTGGTACTGAGGTTTGAACTCAAGCCTCATGCTTGCTAGGCAGGCACTCTTCACTTGAGCCACTCTGCCATCCCACAAGTTATTTTGAAATACAGTCCAGCATGATTTAGCTTAGATAAAACCTGAATTAACTTTAACAGGGACTGTATTTTTTTTTTAGATTAAGCCTAATCTAAATAAAAAACCTATAGTAGAGATATAATTATACTTCAATTATAAAGTGTCACCCTATTTAGTTCAATAGGTTGGTTCATTTAAATAGTATAACATGGTTGGTTTTCCCACAAGCACCTACCATATAGATAAAGCAGCCCTTACCCTGAAGTTTACAATCTAGTAGGAACAGTTAAAACGTGAAAATAGCAGTAAGACAGATTTATAAAGTAATTTCTAGTTCTAGAACTACTAAGTTCATGGAGGAGGTGGCATTTGTATTGGTCCCTGTTACAAGAGTAGTCAGTATGGAGTGAGTAACCCTAGTCTAGAGTCTGCTTAAGAATAAGAACAGACCAGTTAGGAGGATATTACAATAGTCCAAATGTGATTAATTAGGCTCTATAAAAAACTTGTAGTTTAAAAAATAGTCACTTGTTCATAAAATATGTTAGAAACCACACAAGTTTAAAGTAAGGTGACCTTTCCAGACTCATCTGCAGCTATACCTCTCAATGACAAGGTGCTATATTTGCCATTTACCCAAACACACAACATATCTATGTTCTAGTTTTTCCTGAACTGCTGCCCTTAATTCACTTGAAGAGAGTAATCTGATATTTATTTTGTGCTCATCAATACACACTAGGTGCTGTTCTAAGCATTTTACATATTAACTCTTAAGCAACCCCTGGCAATTATCATAAAGATGAAGAAATTGAGGCTGGTAGAGGTTAAGTATCTTGCCCAAAGCTATAAAGAAGTAGCAAAGCCAGATTTTGAATTCAGGTCCATTGGGTTTTGTTTTGTTAGTGGTACTAGGATTTGAACTCGGCCCTCACACTTGCTAGGCAGGCACTCTACCATTTGAGCCATACCCCTAGCCCTTTTTACTCTAGTTATTTCTTGGATAGGGCCTAACATTTTTGCCCAGGGCTGGCCTTGGACCACAGTGGCTGGGATCAGAGGGACACACTGCCACGCCCAGCTTGTTGAGATGAAGTCTCCCTAATTTTTGCCCAGGCTGGTCTTGAGACCTTGTTTGGAGGCTCCTAGCAGGGGAGTGCAGCTCCCCTTGTATACCCTTGATTGAAGAAGGCAGGAAGGTCATTCTCTTCAACTGTGCATGTAGCTTTAGGAAGGATGCACATGGTCTTGGAACTGCAATCCTCCTCCCCCTCTTCACCTCCCAGGTAACTGGTATTACACATATGAACCACCATACTGGCCCCAGTCCCTTTGGTTCTTGAGCTTATGCTCTTAAGCACTGAAGCTTTCTTAAAGTCTAAACTCCTTTCATCTCCACCATAAGACCTCACTACTTCTGGGGACAGAATGACCCTCACATCTTTGTGCCTTGACAATAGGCACACACATATTCCTAGAACTTTTAAATTTTCTCTGTATCATACCTATTCTACTTCTGCATCTAGTCTATGTCCCTAAATAGAATCTGGGTCTTGTTTCTTCATCTTAAAATTAGGATAAGAATCTAAAAAGATGTGTGAAGATTAATGTATAGGAGGCACCTCACATAGCACTAGCAGAATGAAACCTAATTGTATACATGAGTCTTAGAGAAATTCTGTTTTTAAAGAATTCTAAAATGTGTATTAGTATGATAAGCAAAAGGATCTATCTTCAGTGGTAGGGCACTTGCCTACCTTATGCAAGGTCCTGCATTTGATCCCCAGAACTGCCAAAAATTTTAAAAAAAGGAGCAACCTTTTGAGACAGATAGAGGATGCATATGCTCATTATGCAACTCATCAAGTCCACAGCAAACCAAACTGAATCAAGAAAATATAAAGAGACATACCTCCTTCTTCATCCGGTAATACTCATCAATGGCATATTGGTATTTTGGGGTGCTGACACCCAAAACAGATGCAATCTTCTCTCCAAGAAAGTCACAAACTAAAGATACAAAAGTTAAAAGACATACAATTCCATACATATTTCTTGAGCACTTTATGTAAGATAATAGGAATACAAAAGTTACTATTCTTATTCTGCAGATTATAAAAACCTAATCACTTTCCTGATTTCTCTAAGAAGCATTAGTAACTCATCCTGGGCACCCAACAACAGTCTGTTAACATTAATACCTTTTCTTTTTTGGTCATTTTGAGACAGGTCTGGGATCCTCCTGCCTCAGCCCCCACAGTGCTAGAATTACAGACATGTACTACAACACCTGGTTACATTTCTATTATAACATTTCTCACCAGGTATACTACATGGTATACTACATTTAAGAAAAACATATACTATTAAAGGTTGGGATATCACTGGGCTGAAGGAGAAGGTTGGCTTTGGCAGGCACTGAAAGATTAGGCTAACTCATGTTAACAAAGCAGATGTAACATTCAAATCAACGTCTGAATCTAAAGCTTATGCTCTTCCCTTATACAAAACAGTCTAGCAAATAGCGAGTGCTCAGTGACTGTTTGGTGAATCAATTACTATTCACAGTTTATCCTAATAAAAAGCAGAAAGTGATAGAAGCTATGAAGGAGTTAAAATTGGGAGTTTTATGGTGCTGAAACCTGTATTTAAATTAGCAAGATTAATTCATTAACTTATTAATTTATTTTCTTCAAATATGACTTAGCTATATCTCAAGTTAAGAAATATTAATGAAATAAAAATGTAGATGAACAATAACCTATAAGCTTTAGAATAAGCAATGAGGCAGAATGAAAACTATACCAGTAGGAAACTGAATGATAAAATAGTTTAATAGTTGCTAGCAGGGTTCAAGAACATGAAAATCCTGCCTACATTAATGGTGCCATTTTTCAGCTTTTTAAAAAACATAATGAAGCTGAATAATGTCTTTATAAGCTAGATTAGTATCTTCCATGCTGCTGAGGTCAAAGTGGTAAACTCCCCATGGTTTCTCCTTCAGTTTGGAAACATCCTATTTGGCAAAGCTTCTGTTCTTGGAGCTTATTGCAGCAGTTATACAATATTCAAACAGAAGAACGATACCTGAGAGGGTTGATGTGGCAGCCCGAAGCATGTAAAACCATAAGTAGGGGCCCCAGGTAAGTTTCGTCTGCAACAAGATGTCAGGTTAGCAACATTAATGCCTAAACTCATCTTATATACTTAGGCCAGAATAAAATAGTCAAATATTTGGTAGGCATACAGAATATTCTACAGATGTAATCCAATAAAAATCTAAATCTTCATAGACAGAATTCCACAGCTATTTTATATTTACCCATATAATTACCATCACCTTAAGCCCATAGAAGAACCTAATACTACAGAATTGAATCAATGAAAAATATATGAAAATATTTCTTTTGACCTCTAAAAAAACAAAAAAAAAACCAAAAAAACCAAAAAAAAAAAAAAAAAAAAAAAAAAGATGCAGCCACTGAAATGGAGTTGTTAACTCACAGTCTAGATTACTTACAAACTGATAATCTGGAGCCTTTCTCCTGTCTTTTTTTTTTTTTGGTCTTCATTGTTAATAAGCACAACACCAGAGGGTGTGCAGTCAATAAAAGTCTATTGTCAGACATATTTATACTATAGCAGAAAAATTAAGGTTCAGGAAATTAAGATAAGGCATATCAAATAGCTTTTAATGGTGAGGAAACAAGGAAAGAATAAAAAGGGACTAGAGGGCTTGGGAATGGCTCAAGTGATGAGGCCCTGAATTCAATCTCCAATACTGGAAAAAAAGAAAAGAAAATGAGGACTAGAGTATACAACCCAAGCTCAGTGTGTATTTGGTAGGCCAGGATCAGTGGCAGAATGCAATCTACATCACACACCTCCATAGTTAATCTTCTTCTACAGTTAATCTTGGTTCTATAATTCTAGACAGTAATTGTATGAAGCATGCCAAATAGATGACAATTTGCCTCTATGGATAAAATTGACAATACAAGCATGCTTCACTATATCAATATTTTTGTTTATCAAAAGAAAATAGTATAGAGCTGGTAATCAAGTATATTAATAATTGCTTTAATATTGTTTTCAAGGAAGAGAGATAAACTTGCCCATAATCTTTTTAGCTAAGATATATTAATGATTATAAGGACACTGAAAAGGTAAACACAATGGCTGGGAACATGGCTCAAGTGGTACCATGCCTCCCTCACAAGCACAGGCTGAGTTCAAACCCTAGGACCACAAAAAAAAAAAAAAAATCAAACAGAAGATTATCTATAAACACTCAGTACATCTTGCTATGAAAAACAGGTGTCCAATTTCTATAATGATGTATCTGAGGAGACACAGCAGTAAGCTAGCTTTAGCAAACAAATAGATCATCCAGGAAAATACTATATATTATGGACTCCCTGGATCAAATCTGCTATATTTTCTAGATTCACAGCAAGATGAATCTCTTATGTAGAACAAGGGTTACTTTAAGGGCTCTGTTAAGAGGCTCTGGTATTATGGTTAACAGCAAATGGGACAGTGACAGAAATAAAAGGAATGGAACCAATTATAGCACATAATAAATGATAGGGGCATAAAACTACTTAGAAAAGGCCAAGGCATGCTTTGGAGGAAAGCATACATGTATTCCTTAGTAGAACAATTCTGGGGTTACTTCTAGAGAAAACTACTAACATACAAGGTAGGACTACCAAAAACTTGCTCCATAGAAAAAACAACTATATAGAATGAATTTATAGGGTTCTTTGTTCAGCCACCGACCTTATCAAATCAAAATGACAGGTGGCTCAAGAGTCTACCTTGTAACCCCATCACCAACATCCCCGGAATAGCAAAACTGGGACAAGGCTTTCAGTATATTGCTAAAATTGTTCCATTTTACTATTGTTAATCTTTTCCTGTGCCTAATTTATAAATTAAACTTTACTGTATTTATGTATATGAAAAAATACTATATATAGGAGTCAATACTATCTGTGGTTTCAACATCCCCTAGGATGCTCCCACAGATAAGGAGGGGCTACTGTGTATCAGAAAAGGCATCAGTCCACTTACATAGATAATGTTAACAACAACAACAAAAACTATAGAGCGATACACACATATTTGAGGAATTGAAATCAAACTAAATCTATGGATGAGGAAGCTAGAAGAAATATGCCTACTCTTAAAGCTTTTCTAAAGTGCAATAATGCAACTGAATCACTATTAAGATTATAAAAAAAACTAGGTCTCCATTTCTTATTCTCTTTTAGTATTACATGTCAAGAGTATTATTTTTCTCCCCTGGCAGTACTGGAGTTTGATGCAGGACTTCACACTTACTAGGCAGGCACTCTACCACTTGAGCCACACATTCATCCTTTTTGCTCTGGTTATTTTGGAGATAGGATCTCTCTTTTTGCCTATACTACCTAGACCATGATCTTCCTACTTTATGCTTCCCACCACTACTAGGATGACAGGTGCATGCAGCATACCCAGCTTTTTCTTTAGAGATGAGGTCTTGAAAACTTTTTTGCCCAGGCTGGCCTGAAACTCTGATCTTTCCAATCTCAGCCTCCCAAGTAGCTAGGAATACAGGCATGAGCCACTGGCATTCAGCTAAGAGTATTACACTTAAATTTTTACTTTTTTTATTTTGCTTTTTATTTTTTTATTGTAATGGAGACTGAACCTAGGCTTGCACATGCTAGGCAAGCACTTTACACTAAACTTTGTCTCTAGCCATTTTGTTTTTGAGACAAGTTCTTGGCAATACCTTTTCCTGGGTTGGGCTTGTCCTCTTGCCTGTGCCTCCAGAGTAGCTTGGATTATGGGCATATGTCAATCAGACTTGGCTGACCTTTATTTTAAATATCAGGATTTTTTTTTAAAAATTAGGTCTATTTCACAAATATAAGGTATCTTTTCAAAAGTACCACATGGCTGAAAATAAACCCTATTACACCTACTGTGGTTTGAATATGTCCCCCAAAAGCATATTCTAAAACTTAATCCCCAATGCAATTGTTAGGAGGTGGGCCTAATGAGAGGTGCTTAGGCTGTAAGATTTTGCCTTCGTGAACTAATATTATGGTAATGGGTTTGTTATAAAAGGGCAAGAGTCTCTCTCTCTCTCTCTCTATCTCTCTCCCACACACACACACATTCCCTCCCTTCCTCCTAATCTAGGACTTCTCACCCTTCACAACTAAAAGCCAACAACAAATTTCTATTCCTTATAAATTATTCAGTCTATGTTTTTCTGTAATTGGCAGCACAAAATGGACTAAGATAGTGCCCATGTCTAAAGGACAAAAAGAGCAATTAATGGGAACCTAGAGAGAAAGTACTCAGATGGAGAAGTCTTCCCAGCAGGTGTGGCCTTAGTAGAGAATGCAGTTATGCCTGGCATATAACAAGGAAGGAATTCAAATTCTGGACAGTGAAGAATAAATAACAGCACTTCATTTTTTTCCTGCCCACTAATTTCCTGCTCATGGCTTGCATTGGCTAAACTCAATTAAACAGCAGCTCAGTAGTACCAGGTATACTTAACACATATGAGGCCTGGGGTTCAAGTTCCAGCATTGAATGGGGGGTGACGGGGAGGAAGAGGGAGTGAGAACAGAAACAAGTCAGGGATGTCTACTCTGGACACTTCCGTTCCACACTGTAATGGAGGTTCTAGCTAGGGCAATTGGGCAAGAAAATGAAATAAAAGGTATTCAGATTGGAAAAGCAAATCAAAACTATCTCTGTTTACACATCACGATCTCATATCACTAAAAAACTTCTTAGAATAAGCAAAGTCAGCAAGATTATAAGGTAGAATATCAATGTACGAAAGGCAATTGTTTCTCTTCATACTAGCAATAAACAAACTGAACAAGAATCTAAAAAAAGTGTTTCATTTACAATGGCATCAAAAAGAATAAAGCACTCAGAAACAAATAAGTATAAAATTTACACATAGAGCTGGGCACTGGTGGCTCATGCCTATTATTCTAGCTACTCAGGAGGCAGAGATCAGGAGGATCACAATTCTAAGCCAGCCCAGGCAAACAGTTCCACAAGACCCTATCTCGAAAAACTCTTCACAAAAATAGGGCTGGCTCAAGGTGAAGGCCCTGAGTTTCAAACTCTAGTACCACAAAAGAAAAGAAAAGAAAATTTACACATGGAAACGTACAGGGAATGAAAGTGTTTCTCAGTGGTAGTGCATATGCTTTGCATGTATGAGGCCCAGGGAGGGAGAAGGCAAGGCGAGGGGAGGGAGAAGGCAAGGCGAGGGGAGGGAGGAAAGGTAAATATTAGTACCATTACTATTAGTGTTAGTAATAACATTCCCCAAATAGATCTACAGATTCAACACAATCCTCACCTGATACATTTTCAAAAACTGACAAGCTGATTCTAAAATTCATGTGGAATTACAAGGGATCAATATTAGCTGAAACAGTCTTGAAAAAGAGCAAAGGAAAAGCCCTCATTTTCCAATTTTGAAACAGTATAAAGCAATGATGATCAAGACAGGATGGTATCCGTGGAGAAGTGAAGGTCCAGAAATAAAAATCATGTTCTATGGTGAAATGATTTAACAAGGGTGCCAAGACTATCCAATGAAGGGGGAAAAAAATAGTCTTTTCAAAAAAATAGTGCTAGGTCAACTGGAAAATCACATGCAAAAGAATGATGATGGACCCTTACCTCACACCATACACAAAAATTAACTCAAAGTGGACCAAAGACCTAAGTGTAAGAGACTAAAACTATTAAAAGAAAATGCAAAAGATAAATCTCTGTGGCCCCAGATTTGGCAAAGGAGTCTTAAATACGACATGAAACAACCAACAAAATGAAAAATAGACCATGGTACTCATCAAATTTAAGACCTTTTTTACTTCAAAAATCAAGAAATTGGAAAGATAATCCACAGAATGAGAGAAAATACTGGCAAATCATCTATGTGACCAGAATACATAAAGAACTCTTACAACTCAATGAAAATACAAGTAACCCAATTTAAAAATGGGCAAATAAAATCTGAATAGATAAATCTCCAAGGGAGATAGAAAAATGGCCAATAAGCACATGAAACAATGTTCAATATCAACGACTATCAGGGAAATGCAAGTTTTATAAGATACCACTTCATATCACTAGGATGGCTAGAATCAAAAAGACAGTAAGTCTTAAGTGAAGATGTAGAGAAAGCAGAACCCTTACAACACAATGATGAAAGGAATGTAAAATGGTGCAGTCACTTTGGAAAACAACCTGTCAGTTCCTCAATGTTTAAAGAGGAACCAACTCTTTAAAGTTACCAAGTGACCCAGTAATTCTACTCCTAGCTGTATAGTCAAAAAAAAATGTAAACACCCACACAAAAACCTGCACATTAATATTCATAGCAGCATTACTCATATCAGCTAAAAGGTAAAAACAACCCAGATTTCCATCAACTGACAAATGGATGAATAAAATGTGGTATATCCACACAAAAGAATATTATATAAACAGGAATGACTCATTAACACATATTAAATGAATGAGCTTTGAAATAATATGCTAAGTAAAGGAAGACAGTCGGTCACAAAAGACCATATGAGACCATTCATAAAAAATGTCCGCTATAGGGAAATCTATAGACAGAAAGATTAGTAGTTGCCAAGGAGTTGGGGGCAGGGCAGGAGGGAGAATAGAAGATAGCAGGTGATAACTAAAAGGTATGTGATTCTTTTTTTTCTTTTTTTGGCAGTACTGGGGTTTGAACTCAGGAATTCATGCTTGTTAGGCAGGCACAGTATCTCTTGAGCCATGCCTCCAACCCTTAATGGCCAAAATTTATTTATAGCCAAATCTGATGAAAAATAAAATATGATAATTCTCTATTCTGTTACTAGGCTTTATTTTATTCATAGCTCTTTTCAGAGCCTTATAATTATTGTATCTACTTTTTTGTTTATTGTTTTCTCACTAACATAACACAAATTTATAAAGTCCACTGTTACATGACTAGAACCTCAAACAATACCTGTTAAAAGTACCTGTATATATAGGATCAATTGAACTCAATATGACTACCTGGAAAGGCAACACTTTTTTTTTAATGTCTTACAAATTTATAATCCCATCTTGTATAATTTAGATTTTTTTTTTGAGGTAGTGGGGAATTGAACTCAGGACCTTGCACTTGCTAGGCAGATGCTCTACCACTTGGGCCATGCCACCAACCCTATAATTTAGAAATTCATAAGTTTGACTGGTGAGGCACACAAAGTTAAAAACTGTACACTCCTATATTCTAATCAAACTTGAAGCCATATAAAAAAGAACAGACAACTCCTAAGTTCTGGGTAGAAACTATCAAGGCAATATGGTCCTTAATTCAAATGCACTGAGATTCAAGCACTCAAGTTAGTTAAGATTAATCTTACATAAATCTATCCACACTAACAAAGAACTCTGATACTGAAAAACAAACTGATTTAAGCTACTGAAATGTTGGAAATATTTCCAATCCATGTTGTGTAAAAATAGTATTTTCTATCAAAATCATAATGTAGAATGTTATAATCAGAATACAGTTGATTTAAACCTCAAAAGACTCCCTTTCATTCGATGTTTAAGGGACAAGTTAATCAAAACAAAACTCATTGACAAAAGGATCATGAGTATTAAACCTACCGGATCAACAGTAGGCAAAACATCTTTCTTCTCTAGGCCATCAACTTCATCTTCATCTGTGCTGTATTCTTCCATTGTCTCACCACTAACAAAGTGGATAACTCTCCTTGGGACTTTCTTCTTTTTTCCTATGACTCCCAGTTCTACAGTTTCAAAGCCTCTTTCATTACTCATCTATATCAATAATAAATTAAAAGAATGAGAGTTTTGAGTGAGATTTTCTTTCACTATACACACATAAAATGTTGACTGTTTTATTTTCCACACTAAAGAAACAAACAAATCCTTAAGCAATTAAAAAAATCACATCCACAGAGCATCAACAGTACATATGTAGAGTTAATAAAAAAAAAATAGCTGCATATTGACTGAGGTTTAAAATGGAGCTTAATTAATATTTTGTTTAGATCAACAGCTAATAAATCAAACACCACACTTAAAGTCCTAGCAATCCCAATGCTGTACAGATGTAAACACAACCATTTTAAAGAATGGTAGTTGTGGAAATTATGAGTATAAAACACTAAAGGAAAATTATCTATACATACACACAGACATACACACACATATAAAATAGCAGCCTATATTAGGGAACCCTTCTAAGACTTTGGATTTGAGTTTACCTATGTATGAGCATAAGAAAAGCAGTTCAGCTTAACTTGGAATCTCTCCTTTAACTACTCAAAAGGAGTCCTAAATTCAAATGCCTTTTAGGCCAAGCAGATACCAAAAACAAATAAATCTTTACAGAGACTTGTGGATCCTGTGGAGAATGCATCTCTAACTAAAGACATTTAAATTAAGGGAAAATTGTTTTAAACACTGTGAAAGAAATAAAACCCATGTGTAAACTTAATCTGAAAAGCAGACCATCAATGTTCTATTCCTAAACTTCCAAGTCAATACATATGCGGCAATAGCTGGAGGTGTGGCTTAAGTGGTAGAGCACCTATCTAGCAAGTGTGAGGCCCTGAGTTCAAACCCTAGCATTGAAAAAAAAAAAAAAAAATATATATATATATATATATATATATGGCAACAAATAAATTTAAAGACTACTTATAGTTTATGAAATTTTAATTACATCCAAATTTCACTCCTAAGGAAGTATTAATCCTAAATGGATCTTAAAGACTAATACAAAATTCCTATTAACTTTGACTCTTGATTACATTCTTCCCAAAGATTTCTTAAATTCTACAAAAGGGAAAGGCTGAAATATGATTTCCATTTTTCATCCCAATATCCAAGTTAATAAGTATAAACAGAATTTTGAATAACATTCTCTATACATAAAAATTGTAAATGACATTTGATTTGTTCTAATCACAATTTCATAAGATTTTTTTTCAAAAGGTTTTATTTAAGGATTTTCTTTGAAAAGTTTAACATTAACTTTTAATATAGTAAATTTTAAATTGTAGATTTATCATTTTAAGCAAAGATTAGCAAACTTTAGAAAGTAAATCTCCTAGGCTTTGCAGACAAGATAATCTCTATCACAAGTGAACCCTGTGAAAGCAGCCGTAGATGAAAATCCACTTACATGGGTGTGAACGTGTTCCAATAAAATTTTATGTAAAATGTACAGTTAGCTGGATCTGGCTCACAGCCTACAGTATATGAACCCCTGGTCTTAAGGAATTAGACTGGCAAGTAGAAACTCTAAGAAGGACAATCTATGACATGCGATTCCAACCTGTATTTGGGGCATAAAAGCAGTGATGAAAGGTATTATCAAGTAAGACCAACCAGAAAATAATTTGGTACCAGATTTCAAACAATTATAAATAAAAATTACTCTTCGAATTTTCCAAACATTTCATTTTTACCAACAATGAATATGTAAATAAGAACAATTTTACTATAAATTATACAAATTCCAGTTTTTAAAAATTACAACTATCTGAAAAAACAATTTCATAACACCAGGAAATTATGAAGAGTAATGTCCATTAACATTTAACTACATTTTATGGTTAACTGGACTGTAAATCTGCTTATCACGATTCTCAGAATCTATTTTTTGTTTTTGGTGGAACTGGAATGAACTTAGGGCTTTGTGCATGCAAAGCAGGCACTTAACTGCTTGAGCTACATCTCTAGTTCATTTCTGCTCTGATTATTTTCTGAAAATGAGATCTCTTGAACTATATCCCTGGGCTGGCCATGAACTGTGATTCTCCCAATCTCAGCGTCCCAAGTAGCTAGGATAATAGACGTGAGCCACATGCGCCCTGCTGAAGATCTGTTTTTAATGGCAATTTTCTTTTTATATACTATCACAGCACTTAGGACTTCTTTAAAGCATGTACTACATTTGGATTTACTGTGTGTCAACTTCCCCATTATGCTGCTAGCAACATGTGGGTAAGGCACTGTTATATTCTTTAGCCAACAGTTCCCCTACATACGGTAACAGTAACACCTTTGTTCAGTAACAGAGGTGCTAAATAAGTTGATGAGTGGTGCTGAAATTTCAATTCCATTGATAATACTAAAGCTGAGATTCTGGTAAAAAGTTTATTCAGAGGGGCATCAGATAGAATGTCACAACAGGTACTGAATGGTCTGCTTAATTTAGGCTTAATTATAAACACAGATCCAATCTCCTATCTCTAACTTCTTCCCTCCCTGGCACTTAGGGTTTACCACTTCTGATAAACGGGAAGGAGCATAAAATGGTGGCAACCTTTCCCTCACCCAGATCCCCACCTCACTGGCCACTTTTTTTCCCCCTTACCCTGCAAACCCCTGGACACAGATCTAGGGTTCCCAAAGGTGTTTCTACTTCAGGAATGTAAATAAGAAAGCAAAAGGGGGTAAATTTAGAGTCTATATAGGTTGAGTTCATTTGTGTTTAATAAGAAAGAAGAGATGATATGTTCATAAAAAATAATAGTTACTTTTGGGGATAAGATTGTAAGAACAGGGCAGTTGGGGTACTCCTTTTGCTCTACAGTATTAAATATTATTATTATTTCTAACCAGGAATATGAAAACAACATAATATTACTAAACCAAAATAATGAGCCCCTCTTGAAATATTAACAGGCCCATCAGGACTGGTATTTTCTGTTATTAGAGATTCAAAGTTGAAGTAGTGATGAAAACAATTCTAGTAACAAAAAGAAAAATTAAGTGGAAAAGTACATCAAGCACTTTGGCCTTAAAGGTTTAGTTTAAGTATACCATCAGCAACAGGTCTCAACTGAAAATAAAAATCTGTGTTGTCCCCAAAACTCTTTGCATGTCACTCTCTTCATCCTTAAACAGGAGGAAAAATAAGAAATTCCACGTACATGGAAAAGATTTTGGTAACGCAAATTACATCTTAGACCATAAAAGCTACACTCACAGTCTGACACCGTTCTTTATGAACGGTAGTCTGTGGGGAAATGTCTTGCTAACATTCAGGTACTTAGTTTCAAAAATGAAGCTACTAAGCTGGGTATGACAGCCATGCCTGCAATCCCAGCTAACAGGGAAACAAACACAGGAGGATCACCTCCTGGACAAAAGCAGGAGACTCTATCTGAAAAAAGGAAAAGCAAAAAGTACTGAGGGGGGTGGGGGGGTGAGGGCCTCAAATGGTAGAGGCTTGCACCAGGCCTTAAATTAAATCCCCAGTGCCACGAAAAAAAAAAAAATTAAATACACACACACTGAAAAAGCTTCTTTCTCACAGATGGTGAGACGATTACTACACATTAACAACTGAAAGTTCTTTTTTCGTGGTGGCACTAGGCCTCACCACCTGCAAGGCCAAGGCTCTACCACTTGAGTCACACTGCCAGCTTTTTTTGTGTTGGGTATTTTTGATATAGGGTCTCAGGAACTATTTGCTCAGACTGGCCTCCAACTGCAATCCTCCTGATCTCTGCCTCCCCAGCAGACAGGATTACAGGCATGAGCCACCAGCACCCAGCAACAACTGGACGTTTTTAACAGCCAAATTTCTACACATCTGATCAGGTTTCAATTAAAGCAATTTCTTCATTCATCTTACCTGGACAAAGGCCAAGGTTAACTACTAATTTAGACTACCAAACCCAAAACAAATCTCCAAAGCGTACCTAACTCTTAAATCCGCGCTGCCCAAATACAGTAACCACTAGCCACAACTAAACTGTGCTGAGAATGTAAAATACACTCAGGGTTTCACACTTAGTGCCAAAAGAGAATCTAAAATGCTTCCTTAATAACTTTCATAGTCGCTATATGTTGAAAAGGTTTGGTACAATGGGTCAAACAAGCTATAGTACTAAAATGAGCGTCACCTCTCCAGGTTGTGACGGGAAACGTACAATTCCAACTCAGGCCGCGGCTCCCACAGCTGCGGAAGGCTGCGCAGCGGCGTGGGGCAGCCGTACCCGCGTCAGGGCTGTGCTGCGCTGAGCCTGGGTCCCCTGGCTGGTGAACTGGGGTCACCACCCACCTCAAGTGGTTGTCACAGGACTGAGCAAATAGAGCCTGGAAACGCTGGGCATATGTGTGCCATTAAGCAAGCACTGGGCAGGCGCTGGCACGAGACACTGAGAAGTGGTTGCCGCCGCTGTCACAGGGCTGTCGCTTCTGTAAGGACAGCCTTTAAGGGGCCACGCCTGTTTTTCTCGCCGGCCACCGCGGCTGGACTATCATCCCGGAAACCCGAGGCCGCCGCCGAGGGGCCGTGGCGGGGAGGAGGGGGGAGTGAGGGCCGCCGCGATGGGTGCGGGCGTCCGTTCCTTCCCCCAACCTAGTTTCTTTAGGCACAGACAGGAGCACCGCGAGAAGGAACCCCGAAACCCCTGTCCCGCGGTCGGGCGGCCAGGCAGGCCGGCCAGGCAGTCGGACTGGCGGACTGGGCGACAAGACGGCTACCTCCACGCACCACCTACCTGCCGCGCCGCGTCCCCGAACGCCACGGCGGCCGCGGCTCCCGCCGCTGCCACTGCTTCTCCTTCTGCACGGCCCGCCGGCTCCCTGTCCATCGTCGTCGCCGCCACGGGGCTGCTGGCGAGACAAGAGGGTAATGGCCGATAAGCCCACTTCCATCCTCCGCCTCCCCGCCCCGTGGCTGGCCAGCCCCCGCTGCTGGGAAGAGGCACTCACTCACTGCAGCGCCTCCCGCGCCGCGCCCCCCGAGTTACAGAGCCGGCAGAGGGGTGGGGCCCTCCTGAGGTGAGGAGAGATGACGGGCGGGGCGGGGCGGCGCGGTCGACTGCGGCCCGAGAGGCGCAGCGACGGGCTCGCGCGGGGCGGGGCGGGGCCTCCGGCCGCACGGCTTCCGGCCGTTCCCGGCGCTTGTCGGGAGCTCGCGGGGCCGCCTCCAGGCGCGGCCGTGACGTCACGCCCCCACCTGTACCTGGACCGCGGCGCGTCCGGGGTGGGCGGCGCCTGCAGACCTTGACCTGTGTGTGCGCTGGGAGGATGAGAACCGCTGCCGAGTGCGCGGCCGAGGCTCCTGATGACATGTGGTTACTGAAAACGTGAAGTATAGGCTCCTGCTGCATACTCCGTTCCTAACATGGATGACAGTCCAGCCAGAATACCCCAGAAATGAGAACCCCAGGGGTGAATCTTGCTTTCAGTGCTCTGAATACTTCATATTTTTTGTGTGTCATCCAGCTTGCAAATAGGAGAAATATTTGAGCTGTTTTAGGAGTGTGTGTGTGAAGAGGGGGATCGCGAACTTTTTCCATTTTTGGCACTGTTAAAACAAATTTTTAAAATCATGATTGCAATCTTTACTACATAACTTTAATTGGACCATTTTCATATAAAACGGTTTTTTATTGTTGTTTAACATGAAAGTTCTCTTTATGTAGACATCAAGAATGAAATACTGTTTTGGCCGCGAGGCTTAATTTAATCTTTTTGGGGGGAGGGGGGTGTTACAAGTTCTTGCTGTGTTGCCCAGGATGGCTCATCTGCCTGCCTCTGCCTTGCCTTCCCGGAGCGCAGGAATTTACAGATGTGCGCCACCGTACATGCCTAGCTCATGTGATGCTTCAGATTCCATTTTCATTCCAGTCAAATTCAGAAATGTTCCCCAAAGTTACATGACCTAGTATATGTTATCCAACATGGCGCCAGCAGGCCCAACCACCCCTTATTGTAGCCTTAAATGTTTCTTTCTCTTCTGTTCATTTTCCTTGCCATCTGCCTAATTTTGGGGGGGAGGTGCTGGTGCTGGGCTCAGGGCTTTGAGCTTGCAAAGCAGGCACTCTACCACTTGAGCCACACCTCCAGTCCATTTTGCTCTGGTTATTTTTGAGATGGGGGTGGGGTCTCATGAACTATTTTGCTGGGCTGGCCTTGAACTGCCATCCTTCTGAGCTCTGCCTTCCAAGAGGTTAGGATTACAGATGTGAGCCACCTAACAGTCTTGTACATTTTGTATTCCATTTATAATTATAACCTAAAAACAAAACCAAAAACCTTACACATGAGGAACAATCTTTTGAAAACCATTTACACTTTAAAAAGTGGCCGGAAATCCATAATGCTCTATATAATGGTAAAATAATCAAATTAGCTTGCTGCTGAAGTGAACAAGTTAGTAACATGATTTGATTCTGTATGATGGAATAAACAGTGGGCTTAAACAGTTCAAATCAAAACCAAACTGCAATAAATTGAAGCAAAAAATAAAGACCTAATTGTTGAAGAGTTCATGAATTGGCCTTCATAAACAACAGTTCTATATTCTATTCCCTCCTACTAGCAAGAAGGGCAATCAACAATCTTTATTATTAAAAATGTGCACTGTTTACAAAGGCATGATTTTATTTTCCAAATTGTCTATTAAATGTTAAATTACAATTTTTACTGCTGAAGCAGAATGTGTTTTTTTTTTTCATTTTTCTTTTATTATTCATATGTGCATACAAGGCTTGGTTCATTTCTCCCCCCTGCCCCCACCCCCTCCCTTACCACCCACTCCACCCCCTCCCCCCCCCTCAATACCCAGCAGAAACTATTTTGCCCTTATCTCTAATTTTGTTGTAGAGAGAGTATAAGCAATAATAGGAAGGAACAAGGGGTTTTGCTGGTTGAGATAAGGATAGCTATACAGGGCATTGACTCACATTGATTTCCTGTGCGTGGGTGTTACCTTCTAGATTAATTCTTTTTGATCTAACCTTTTCTCTAGTTCCTGGTCCCCTTTTCCTATTGGCCTCAGTTGCTTTAAGGTATCTGCTTTAGTTTCTCTGCATTAAGGGCAACAAATGCTAGCTAGTTTTTTAGGTGTCTTACCTATCCTCACCCCTCCCTTGTGTGCTCTCGCTTTTATCATGTGCTCATAGTCCAATCCCCTTGTTGTGTTTGCCCTTGATCTAATGTCCACATATGAGGGAGAACATACGATTTTTGGTCTTTTGGCCAGGCTAACCTCACTCAGAATGATGTTCTCCATTCCATCCATTTACCAGCGAATGATAACATTTCGTTCTTCTTCATGGCTGCATAGAATTCCATTGTGTATAGATACCACATTTTCTTAATCCATTCGTCTGTGCTGGGGCATCTTGGCTGTTTCCATAACTTGGCTATTGTGAATAGTGCCGCAATAAACATGGATGTGCAGGTGCCTCTGGAGTAACAGTCTTTTGGGTATATCCCCAAGAGTGGTATTGCTGGATCAAATGGTAGATCGATGTCCAGCTTTTTAAGTAGCCTCCAAATTTTTTTCCAGAGTGGTTGTACTAGTTTACATTCCCACCAACAGTGTAAGAGGGTTCCTTTTTCCCCGCATCCTCGCCAACACCTGTTGTTGGTGGTGTTGCTGATGATGGCTATTCTAACAGGGGTGAGGTGGAATCTTAGTGTGGTTTTAATTTGCATTTCCTTTATTGCTAGAGATGGTGAGCATTTTTTCATGTGTTTTCTGGCCATTTGAATTTCTTCTTTTGAGAAAGTTCTGTTTAGTTCACGTGCCCATTTCTTTATTGGTTCATTAGTTTTGGGAGAATTTAGTTTTTTAAGTTCCCTGTATATTCTGGTTATCAGTCCTTTGTCTGATGTATAGTTGGCAAATATTTTCTCCCACTCTGTGGGTGTTCTCTTCAGTTTAGAGACCATTTCTTTTGATGAACAGAAGCTTTTTAGTTTTATGAGGTCCCATTTATCTATGCTATCTCTTAGTTGCTGTGCTGCTGGGGTTTCATTGAGAAAGTTCTTACCTATACCTACTAACTCCAGAGTATTTCCTATTCTTTCTTGTATCAACTTAAGAGTTTGGGGTCTGATATTAAGATCCTTGATCCATTTTGAGTTAATCTTGGTATAGGGTGATATACATGGATCTAGTTTCAGTTTTTTGCAGACTGCTAACCAGTTTTCCCAGCAGTTTTTGTTGAAGAGGCTGCTATTTCTCCATCGTATATTTTTAGCTCCTTTGTCAAAGATAAGTTGCTCATAGTTGTGTGGCTTCATATCTGGATCCTCTATTCTGTTCCACTGGTCTTCATGTCTGTTTTTGTGCCAGTACCATGCTGTTTTTATTGTTATTGCTTTGTAATATAGTTTGAAGTCAGGTATTGTGATACCTCCTGCATTGTTCTTTTGACTGAGTATTGCCTTGGCTATTCGTGGCCTCTTGTGTTTCCATATAAATTTAACAGATTTTTCAATCTCTTTAATGAATGTCATTGGAATTTTGATGGGAATTGCATTAAACATGTAGATTACTTTGGGGAGTATTGACATTTTTACTATGTTGATTCTACGAATCCATGAGCATGGGAGATCTCTCCACTTTCTATAGTCTTCCTCAATCTCTTTCTTCAGAAGTGTATAGTTTTCCTTGTAGAGGTCTTTCACATCTTTTGTTAGGTTTACACCTAGGTATTTGATTTTTTTTGAGGCTATTGTAATTACAATTTTTACTGCTGAAGCAGAATGTGTTTTCATGGTTCAAAAGCACTATATATTTCTTAGTTTACTGAAAATTCAAAATATAAGTTATATTCCAACATGAACTGGAAGCATTTCCTAAAAACAGTAACTTTTAAACAAATATGCAACCGAAGAGCAGTTGAACTAAAGGGTTTCACACTTCTGTTTTCTATCAAATGTCAAAAATATGCAGCTGTTTCTTATTCTACTTCTGCAAGAACTGAGTCTACCCTACAACCAATGTGCCAATATTAAAATACTGGCACATTATCATTTCAGTAACAATTCTCGCCTCTTTTGGGTTTCTGAGGAGCAAGTTTCCTTTTCTATTTATAAAAGTGTAAAAAGCAAGCAAGCATCCTAAAATGTGGAAATATGCAGTTATTATGTGTTCTCACTTGATGTAGGTATGAGACTTCTCTGTGGAAAAAGGCTCAGAAAAGTTTAGTATACCTTAAGAAAAGCATTCCATGTGGGCTGTTACTCCCTTCTACTTCCTCTGAATAGGAAAAGCCTTTCTGCAGCAGTGTCATAGAGGGGTCTCAAGCCCCTCCCCTAAGGGGACTTCTTAGTGTTGGGCTCATCTGAATTACCCATAGTACAAGCAGGTGCCAGTGTGCAATTTCTTGGCTGTCTTCCACTTATGATCCAGTTAGTACTGATAAATGCATTGTTTTAGGCTAATGAGAAAACTCTTTGAGTCAAGTGAAGCTAAAAGATGTAATATGCTGTTCAAATGAAGACAGAAAAAAATGAGAGAATTGTAACATATGCATGCCAAACAAAAGAATTTATATGGCAGTGCAGGCCCACAATAACAAAAGGAAATGTACCATAATTATGCCAGCTGACAAAGTGTATTTTCACTTTAAAAGTATATAAAAATTCCCTGTACTCACTGTGCCCCTCTTACAGATCAGAGGTCAATGTACAGGGTTAGGGTCTAGGTCTTAGGTAAGCAACTACTCAACAATGAGCACAAAGAAATAATCTACTGTTAATTGCAAAGTGTGGTGGAAAATCTATCAAAGCAAAATTTCACATCAGTTAACTACCATAACATGCTTCAGGCTACACAACTGATCTAGAGGAAGAGTTTAAATGAATCCTCCAGCATTTGAGATGCAAATTAATTATTCCTATAACTCTCAGCCTGAAGGAGGGCACTGGTCATTGGCCTATCTCAGTTGTGACCTTCGCTGGTTCTGTTTTTGCCTCTTTAATTCTGTTCTCCACAGTCTCTCTTTCCTGCAGTCACCTTGGACCTCAGGAGTGACAGGACTGGTCATAAAAGTCTTTATGGTAAAGGACTGAAAATACCTCCTGGCAACAGCAAGCCTCACAGGACAGATCACTCCCCAACACACAGGCACATTAGGGCAATGACTTACGATAATGAGGCCGCACCCTACAGCAGGAGTAATCACCTCAAGGGGACCAGATTGTTCCCCTCAAGTGATGACAAAGGCAACAGCTCCAGAACGCCTTGCAGAACCAGAACTGAGATGACCAGACCAGTGGCCTACCAAGACTATCTGCTCTGTCAGATACGTATACCCAGCCCCTCTGTCTCCCCTTTCTATTAAAGCTCAGAGTTCCTGATAGCCCCTTGCAACAGACTTCAGGTCAAGGAACCTCTCTATTCTTCCTGACGTGGCCACATTGATTAAATCTCTCTTGTCCTTCACTGCTACCGGGGGCCAACCCTATCTATTGGGATTCACTGAGCAGGGGTATTTGCTTCAAAACTCCAGTACAAGGCCAAAAGGAAAGAAGGCATTAAGTTGAAGATTAAAGGAATACTTTAATGTTTGGAACATGGTAACGGAATTTGGTAAAGAATTTTGGAGCCAATGATTTAGTTTCTAATCCAATGAATGTCAGTAATAAAGAGAATCATCCAAGATTTGAGTGGTGATAAGGCTTTCTGATTATCATTTACCTGGCTTTATTAGTATTTCTAGATTTTGAGAAAGATAATTATGTACATTTAGTTGCTATTTAACCATGATTGTCATTGACATAGTTTTTATTAGAGCTGAAATGGCTTTTTGGCTGCTCTCTCTGCATTTGTATTGTAAAATACTTTTTTTTTTTTTGCTATATGCACAATTATCAAGCTGAAATTCCTTCACATTTTAATTTTAAATGCTTTGATCATCTTTTACTGAACATTTGCATATTCATATGTACCAGAGCTACTTATAAAAGAAATTCATTTGAATTTTTTTCTATTGCATTTACTTCATAGACTTCAAAACTTTACTGAAATCAACTGTTAAGACTATATTAATTTTATCTTTACATTACATGATATGGGACTTTAGTTCTAGTAACTTCCTGGTTTTGTTATCACCTGTGTATCAATACTCATTGATAACATTTTATTCCTTTTTAGTTATGTGACATATTTCTAGTCAGTTGTATTATTTCGTATCAGTACTTTTGTCTCACATAATAAACTGTATTCACTTGAATAAAATGTTTTATCAAACGTATTTTTCCCCAAAATTTTTTCCATAAACTACAATGTACTATGTATACAAATATCCTTTTATCTTTTTGTTTTGCTTTGTTTTGTTTTTTTGCAGAGCTGGGGATTGAACTCAGGGCCTTGTGCTTGGCAGGCAGGCACTCTACCACTTGAGCCACCCCCACCAGTACCCCTTATATCTTATATGGCAGCAAATGTGATAGTTTTAGGAGATCACTGATATCTATCACATTTAAATTGTTAATTTGCTCTTTCTTGGTTTTGCAGTTTGTTGCCATTTAATTTCTAACCTAGTTTTTTATAATTTATACAAGCATTGTAAGCTTAAGGAAGCTATACTCAGCTTTTCATTTGTATTTATTTAAGTAACTTTGTAATAAAATTCAAGAATTCAATATTGTATTATATTAGATCTAGGTAGTGGCCCAAGTTGGGAATGTATCAGATACCAAAAAGCTAAGAAATCAGTTTTTAAACAATGAAAAATAAAATTTGTCTAAATTAATAGAAGAGAAATGAAAGTTAAACTAGGTATCCTGGGCCATTAGCTGTCCTTTGCCATTATTTTACCTTCTGAAAAAGAATTTGTATCAGACATAAAAATGTTAAAACCTATGCTGAAGCTGTAAGGGTTATTATAACCAAGGGTCTTTCTCCATTTCTCTTTTGGCCAAAATGAAAAATAATATATCCCACGAACTGAAACCACAAAAATGCATACCTAAAAAATGTTGTATGCATCAGTTTGGTTAGGAAATACTATATAGCACAATATTTTCTCTATTAACAAATTTCTGTACCTGGGCCTTGCTATGACATTTCTGTACAACACAAAATACATAATTTTTAAATGAATATTCTATAGGGATATTTTATTCTTTAGCTGGCAAAAAAAAAAGTGGGATATAAAATCTCTGCCCAAGTAAACAAGAAATCAGCTGCATTCTTTGTTTTGTTTTGGGACAGGGCCTTGCTATGTAGCCTAGATGGCCTTGAATTTGAGCTCTTCCTGTCTCAGCCTCCTGAGTGCTGGGATTATAGACGTGAATCACTATACCAGCTTAGTTGCACTGTTTATGTAATTATTTTTCCAAAATAACTTGGGCAGTTGGCATCCACTCCCATCCGGGACTGGGCTCGCCATGGCTGTGCACTATCCCATGGTTGTGGGTCACAACAATGGCCACAAAGTGACCAAGGACGTGAGCAAGCAAGGCCATGGGCGCCTCACAAGGCAAACCAAATTCGGGGACATGAACCGTGAGGTGTGCAGCTTTGCTCCAAATAAGCAGCGCACAAGTGGGCCCTCAAGTTCATCAAGAAACAGGCAGGACACACACCTGTGCGAAGAGGAAGCGGGCAGAGCTGAGCAATGTGCTGGCAGCAGAAAGGAAGGCAGCAGCCTAGAAAGACTGAGGCATCCCACCCGTTGTTCCCACAATAGTCATCTATGTTAAAAAAAAATTTTTTTTTTGACTGATAGGACCTTTTTGGGGTGAGGGATTGGGATTCGATTTTAGGGCTTTGCACTTGCAAAGCAGGCGCTCTACTGCTTCAGCCACGCCTCCAGCCCATTTTGCTCTGGTTTTTTGGCAATAAGGTCTCACGAACTATCTGCCCAGGCAGCCCTCCAACCATGATTCTTCCCATCTCAGCCTCCCAAGTAGCCAGGATTAGAAGCATAAGCCACCAGCACCAGCTATAACATCCTTTTAAGACACTTAACATAAGAAATTAATACCATAAAAACTATTTCACTTTCTCCACTACTAATCAATCCTTTCCTGAAAATCAGTTCAATTTAGTTCAAAATACATTGTTACACCATATTTATTATGTTCATGTAAATAATAGTAGCATAGTATTCATTTTCTCCACTACTAATCAATCCTTTCCTGAAAATCAGTTCAATTTAGTTCAAAATATTGTTACACCATATTTATTATGTTCATTTAAATAATAGTAGGCATAGTAATCACTCTAGTATTTTCAATTAATTTCATAATTTATTTAAAAGCCATTGGCTCTAGACAGGCACAGTGGTGTAAACCTGTGGTCCTGGCTACTAAGGAGCAATTTCTTCAAGTAGAAGTATGTAAGAAACATAAAAGATGGCTTTTTAGGGCTGGCAATGTGGTGCAAGTAGTAGAGCGCCTGCTTAGCAAACATAAGGCTTTGAGATCGAACCCCAATACTGAAAAAAAAAAAAAAAAAAAATCAAGGACTGCTGTTAAGGCTTCAAAAATGTTTAAAGTGCAAGTTGTATATAAAACATCATACATTGTAGACTATAGCCAAATTAAATGGCAGAGTTAAGATGTCTGTGACAAATTTTAATTGTTGTAAGAAATAAAAAGTCCTAATACTCATAATTTTATTATTATTCAGTATTTCCTACTAAAAGTGTAATTTGGGCAAAATTTACATGATATATATCCACTGGCCTTTTTGTCTATTTTTGGATGATACACTGATCATTTTAAACCATAAAGAAAGTTAACAACTTCTTATAACCACTTTGAATTTTATTTTACAGCACTTTTATTGAGACATCATGGAATTTACTGACCAGGACCTGTTTACAAATGTAATGCTTGGCCTTTGAGACAATTAAAAACCTTTAAGTACTAAAATTTTACATCATGATTTATTTAACTTAAGAAGTGTTATGATGGTGAAAACTAAAAGAAAATTTAAAGCAGAAATATAAGGATTTCCACAAAAACCATATATTTCTCCCTTATAGCAAAAGAAGGGAAGGAGATGGAAGAAAGGAAAAAGAAAAGGAGAAGGAAATAAGACAAGAAGAGGGCAAGACAGGCAAGAAAAATACTCTTTTTTTCCCCCCGATGGAAGAAAGGAAAAAGAAAAGGAGAAGGAAATAAGACAAGAAGAGGGCAAGACAGGCAAGAAAAATACTCTTTTTTTTCCCCCGTTTGTAAAAAGAAGGGAAACTCTGAGGTCTCAGCAAATAATGTAATCAACCAAGTCAGTTTATATTAAGGCATCTTCTTTACATATTATTGAATCCCATCATGCCTTTCATATTGCCAGCAGCACCCTGTTGAAACTGCCTCATCATTGACTGAAGTCCTGCCATACCACCTAAAGTGAAAAAAGAGTAAAAAACAGGTATTTATAAAGCAGAACTTGAAATGTTTATTACCTTTGCCTAACAAGTACTTTAACTTTTAAGAAATACTGTGTACTGACTGCAATTTGCTCATTAGCTTTTAAGAATATACCAAATAAATCTAAACTAATTTTTCTAACGTGGCAAGGCCAAGTTTTCCTTCATATAGAATTAAGTTGCATAAGAAGTAATCAATGAGAGGTTATTCCAAAGGACAGGAAGAAAGAAATTCACCATTTACTAAACATTACAATATGCCAGAATTGGACTACATGTACTAGCTCATTTAATTGTCACAATTTCCTAATGAGGTATTATCTGTGATTTTAGAGAAGAGAAAGTGAGATTTAGAAAGTTTAAGGGACTTTTCAAAGGTTACACAGTAAAAGTGGAATTGGGGTTCAAAACCCTTCCATAACTTCAAAGTCCTATCACTGAAAACACACAGCTGTAAAATAGGACAAAAGGTCCTATTTTATAATTAGAGCCAATGCCTGTGCCTCATGCTGTAATCCTAGCTACTAGGGAGGCAGAGATCAGGAGAATCAAGGTTGGAGATCAGTCTGGGCAAATATTTCGTGAGACCTTATCTCAAAAGTACCCAACATAAAAAGGGTTGTAGAGTGAGTGGCTCAAGTGGTAGAGTGCCTTCCTCGCAAGCTTGAGTCCCAGAGTTCGAACCCCAATACAACCAAAATATTTTAAAAAAAAAGAAAGAAAAGATTAAACAGCTTGCACAAAAATCACACAGGAGGCAGGAAAGGAGTGAATAAAACTTCAGCTTCTCAATTTAAACTACTCAATTTAGGATTCAGATGGCCATTTCCCTCAAACCACATGCCTTCTGAACAGATTTTCATAGCATCTCAACAGAAGGCTTAACCTTTATCAATTAAATTGTGTACTAGCAACTGGTTAAAAACAACATGTATTTACCCATGTGATGAAGAACCCTTGGATCCATCATTTTGGCCATTTGTTGATTCAATTTTGCCATCTGCGACTGGCTCACATTCTTAGACATATCACCACCTGAAAAAAAAGTTTTCAATCAGTGTAGGATGTAATATAATCAGGGTATTGTAAAAACTTGATGAACTGACTAAATACACAGAAAAAAATTCATCTATAATCTTATCACCCAGCAAAATTACTTCTCTTTCTACACATTCCCTATCTTTATCTCATTCATATTTTTTATTTTTTGTGGGACTGAGATTTTAACTCAGGGCTTCATGTTTGCAAAGCAGGCATTCTAACCCTTGAGCCATTCCTCCAGTCTACTTTGCTCTTCCAGATCTCAGTCTCCCAAGTAGCTAGGATTACAGGTATGATCCACCAGAGCCTGTCTTCAATTACATATTTTTTATGACATTCTATATATAAAAGAACATTCAAAGGATTTTTTTTTTTTTTGTAGTACTGGGGCTTGAATTCAGGGCCTCACACTTGTTAGGAAGGCACTCTACCACTTGAGCCACTCTGCCAGTATTTTCAAGATAGGGGCTCATGAGCTATTTGCACTGGCTGGCTTTGAACCAGAATCTCCTGATCTCTGCCTCCTGAGTAGCTAGGATTACAGGCATGAGCCACTGATGCCCAGCTTAAAGGATTTTCTTAAATCTATGATTTTTTCTAATACTTTTAGTTGTATCTGTGAATGAGTCACTATAAACAAGACTGCATTCAATAATTATCAACAGTAAGCTCCAGTAGCAATTGCTTAATAGTGATATGAGGGAAGACCAAGCAAAAATCTGATACGGGTTAACTGGGAGAAACTATTTTACTGGTAAAAGAATATGAAAGAATGAGTCTCAGAGACTCATTTTCAAGTTCAGAGAACTTGAAAATTTATATATATCTAAGAAACTTCTAAAAAAAATACTTATAGTTTCAGGGAATAGAAGACAAATAAGTGCAATGTAGTTTGTCAAGGAATATCCATATACTTGGTCAAAAACTCCACACACTAAAAAAGACAGCCAATGAGAGAGGTACACTGGGCCAGAACAGGTAAAAGTATCTTTTAGAGAGTATTTGTACTTTTTTTTTTCTGATGTGACTGGAGTTTGAAGCTTTGTGCTTGCAAAGCAGGCATTCTACTGCTTGAGTCATATCTCCAGCCCATTTCACTCTGGTTATTTTGGAGACGGGATCTCACAAACTATTTGCCTGGGCTGGCCTCAAACCAAGATCCTCCTGATATCAGCCTCCTAAATTGCTAGGATTACAGCATGAGCCACCACAGCCCAGTTTCTATTCTTTTCTGATACGGAGTCTCGCAATGTAGCAAGCTGGATCCTCCTGCCTCAGCCTCCCAAGTGCTGGGATTACAGGCATATACCACTATGCCCTACAGAATAGCTATACCCTTAAGAGACAGAAAGCAAAACATATCATCAATGCAACAATTATGAACAAGTAGAATTGCTTCAGCAAAATAATTTATTTCACAGGCTGAAGGTGTGGTTCAAGTGGTAGAGTGCCTGTCTAGCAAATGCGAGACCCTAAGTTCAAACCCCAATACCACCAAAAAAATAAATAATAATTTATTTCAAATGAACTTTGACTATGGAAATTCTCAGAAGCACTAATAAAAATGAAAGTCCAAACTGCCCCTGATTCTCTGATCATAGCTAAGCAGAATAAAGTATGTAAATCAAAACAATAAAAATATACAAACATATGATAAAAATCTAAAAAAATTCATGTTTAGTAAGACTGTGAATGAATTCCATGTTTATTGGTGATTTGTCCTAATTGTTTTTCAGGACTTAAAACTTCTGAAAAATATTAAGAGCTTGGCATATAACAAGAGTGCACATATCCACTGCCCACTACATCTTGGTTGTGCCTTTATTAAGGAATCAAGATAAAATCTTACTGATAGATCTGCAGTAGTTCCTTGAGGGAATAGTCAGGGTCATCTGAGAAAGATATTAAAACTAACATAATGTGTTTATTAATCAATATATGAAATAGCATGGAATGCTGGTAATTATAACCAATTTTAAACAAGTTTGCCTAACTTTTCCCCTTGTCACAAAAGAGAAACTAAGAAATAGCAAGCAGGAAAATAAGTAAAATATCAAAGACAAAAGGCAATTAAAAGCCTGGCATGATGGGGCACACCTAGAATCTCAGTTCCAGGTTAGTCTGGACTGCACTGTGAGTTCAAGGCTAGTCTGGGATCGATAGCAAGACCATGTCTCAAAACAAACAAACAAACAAGGCAATTTAAAATATTTGGAAATACTCATTCTTTTTGGAATATATTCATCTTTTGAGTTTGCCTAATCAAAGGTTTTTTAAATAAATTCATTTTATAGTTATTTACATTATAGAAAATAATTTTAAAAGGGTTGGAATACTTGATAAACTCCTTGGAAAAACAAACATCTTTTTACCTTATACAATACACAGCAAAATAAATTCCAGTTGGAATAAAAAGTCTAAAAAATTAACCCCCAGGGGTGGTGGGTCCATCTATAATTTCAGCTACGCCACAAGCAGAAGCAGGAGGATTGCAGTATGAGGCCAGCTTGGGAAAAGTTAGGGATACCTTATCTCAAAAACAAAATATAAAACAAAAGGGCTGGAGGCACAGCTCAAGCAACAGAGTTCTTGCCTAGCATTCAGAAAACTCTGGGTTTACTCCCCAGTACTACAAACAATCTGGGCTGTGGATATAGCACAGTGGTGGAGCACCTGCATGCACAAGGCCCTGGGTTTGATTCCGAGCCCTGCTAAATGAATTAATGAATGAGTGATAGATAAATAAAACCAAAAAGAAAAAGAAAATATAGGTGACTACTATATCAACATGGCAAACATTCATGAGCATAAAAGAAGTCAAAGTAAAATGTAGACTTGGCTACATTAAAATTGGAAACTTTGGGTAGTGGTGGGGAACAGGTGCTAGGGATTGAACCCAGAGTCTTGAATGTGATAGGAAATACTCTACCACTGAGCTATACCTCTAGCCTAAAAATAGAAACTTCTGTTCATCAGACAATATAAAAATAAAATGCAAACAAACAAAAAACTAGGAAAAAATATTTGCAGATATAAAGCAAGGATTTTAAAGAGCTACTGTAGGGCAATAAGGGAAAAATTTTGAATGACTGGAAAAATAACATGAAGATTTAAGAAGGATCAAACTAGAGTTGTACAAAGAAATGCTAAACTTTAGTAATGTAAAAATATTGGAACTACACATCTGTGTAGTTTGACCATTTATAGTATATTTTCTGTAAGCTATTTTGTATATGTAAAGAAAAAAAATGAAATGGCTACAAAGCTCTATAAAGTCCTATATTGTCCATTTGCACATAACTGCTTTGATGATGGGTTATTGTCTGTAAGTGAGAGTAACAGACCATTAAATTGTAGATGATATTAGAAAATGTATTCAGCATCTACTGTTTCTGATCAAAGTAGACAAAATCTCTGGCGTCATAGAATTGCCCAGAAACTGACCCTGATATAGAAACAGTTGAGTCAGTCTAAGTGTCTAAAGAGGCATTACATTAAACAAATACACACACATATCTGGAATAGTAGTTAAACATGTTTTGAAGAATATTTGGTAATATGTAAAAATAATCATGATTTATTGGAAGAAAGCAGTAGTTATATCAACTGTTATTTCCAATAGGATCTGTGGGATTCTATAAAATAATTTGTGTTAACTTTTTTCTTATATATTTTTCTGTGTGTGTGGTACTAGGGTTTGAACTCAGAGCTTTATGCTTGCTAGACAGGTGCTACACTACTTGAGCCATGACCCCCAGGCCCTATCTTATACTTTCTTATGGTCTCTTAATACTCTATAACATATATTACATGTTCATAAAAATATCATCACTAAGTTTGTTTTTTTAATCTGAAAACAGATAAATCGTAGGTCACATTATAAATCCTGGTAGCACCTGGCAATAACATGAAATCCAGTTTACTTTTTTTTTTTTCTTCAATTTCTAGAAATTGAACCAGGGCCTCATACATGCTAGGCTCTACCCCTAGCCCTAACCCTAGCTCCTATAACATGAAATTCTGCAGTGATTTTTCCAATACTGGTAGTATTCCTTGACTTTAATATTTAGTTATACTCAGCTTTCCTTCTTTTTTATCTAAGTGGACAGGATGACTTATTGTTGAGCATGATTAAGGTGATTAAGGAGAGGTCAGCACAGGGAGAAGCCCTTACAAGTGCAGGGCCTGCCACCTGTCCAGGGAACCACAATTAGAGATAAATGTTACCCCACAGCTATCAGGTGTGAGCTGCTTCTCAGTTACCACGTCTTTAAATTCATCTGCATTAAACTTGGTAAAACCCCACTTCTATGAGATGTAGATCTTCTGGTGGTCAGGGAACTTGAAACTGGCCCTCAGTCACATGTTCCTTATTCTGCAGGTTGATGTAGATGGATTACCTAGCCAATGTGAACCCTGGCCACTGTGCCCTGTGGCTTCCCAAAGGTACCCTGCATACCTGTCTGGATCCAAGATTGGGGACTGCATGATATCAGAGATATGAACATCCACTGGAAAACTGTCTCTAAAGTCCCTTAGGGCAATCCTCACAAGCAACAGGTAGCATACACTATGGAGAAGGCTGCTGTTTGCAGCCACTGCACACCAGGTTCTCATAGTAAAGGAAGCTGGTCGGCTTAATTGGCTGCCATCAACTTTTCTTTTCAACCTACTGATTAACAATTAACTTATTTTTCTTACCTTTGAAAAGTCCTTTAATACCTCCCATCTTTTTTACCATCTGTGCAAATTTGGTATACTGTGTCAAAAGTTCTTGAACATCTCTCGTTGACACACCTGATCCTCTTGCTACTCTCTGGATTCTTCCCGGCTGCTTACTAAAAACCTTTGCACCATCCGTACTGTCCAGTTCTGTAGGCAAAGGTCAATTACTCTCACTTACATATAATAATCATCCACCATGAAAGCAGTTATGTGCAAATGGGCAATACAGGACTTAACAGAGATTTGCAGCTATGTTTTTTAGGCAGAAAACAATTTCATTTTTCTCTCTGCATACTACAAAATAGCTTACAGAAAATATAAATGTAAAATGTATAAACTACACAAGTGTGTTATCAGCCATTTGCTTCAGATTTTTTAAGTAAAATAAAACATTCTGAGAACCTTTGAAACGCCATGTCCACCATTTCCATATCTCAAATGTACACTTATCCTTTGCCCTCCACACTCCAGAGGTATATTATAATTTCAAAAAAGAACAGAAGCACTCACCTTAATTCTACCATAAATAACTACTAACCTTTAATTCATAAATTTAGGTTATATAAGCCAGCAGAAGGAGGCAGACCTTATTTATAATTAACAGAAAAAAACATATTTCCTATAATCAAGTAATTACTGTTAGTGGTATTTCAACCCTTTCTGCAGCATATGATGAATGAATTCCGTCTAGTTTTTTGATTACTCAGAATATGAGGTGCAGTTCTTCTGGCTTTAGTTGCATACAATCTCAGGAATGGGGCTAGACTTCTGCCAAAATTTCTACTATGTCTGCATTCTTTCTGTAACAATCCCCTATAAGTGGCTCAGTCTAAATATCTCCAAAGAGATGACTCACTAATAATATTAGGCAGCCATAATTATATCTGTAATTATGGAAACTATTTTCCTACAATACACTGAAATATATGTCTGGTATTTCTATTCCAGTTCATGTATTATATCTTCTTGCCAGGCATAAAAGTAAGGTTTTCAAATGCTCAAGAGCCACAATGTGGCAGTGATTGAGAGTGTGGACTTTCAAGCTGAATGTTCAAGTTGAAGCGCAACCTCTCTGGTAGCAGTGACCTTGAGTAAATTACTCAGCTTGCCTGCACCTCGGTTTCCTAATATGAAAAGGCAGAAAATAATGGATTACCCCTAAAGAATTGTTGTGATGATTAATTGGTTTGCATATGTAAAGTGCTCAGGACAGGGCCTGGCACAGAGTAAATACTTGAGATATGGCTGCAATGATTAATTCTACGTGCAAAATTATTGCAGTGTTAAAGATGGAGACACAAAAGACACAATCTTATTTGTGTTACAATGAAAACCTTGAGCTTGGAAAAGAGGTAAAAATTATAAAAATAATAAATAACAAAGCACAGATTAGGACGAATTATTAAAAAAAAATGAGCAAATGATAAGAAACACTGGCTGCGGGTAGAACCCTGGAGCATATCTTCATTTAAGAGCTGGGCTGAGAAAGAAACCAGTAAAAGAGACTGAACAGGATAACAAGAAAGGTAAGGTCAAAAGGGACAGACAGTATCATGGAAACCAAGAAAAAAAAAGATGGTTAACAACATCCAGTGCTGTCAAGGACAAGAAAAATAGAAAGTATCCACTGGAGAAGACCAGTAGGAAGTTATTGAAGACCTTTGTGTGATCTACTTCAGAGTTATGGGTGAAGACAGAAATCAGATTTCAGTGGTCTGAGAAATATAAACTGTTCTTTTAAGGAACTTTACCAAAAAGAGACACAGTAAAAAAAAAAGTAAGAGTGACAGGTAAGACCATGTAAACATTTAAGAAAATGTTAACTTAAGAATGTTCATATAATGACGGAGGGGGAAAAAATCAGAAGATAAGGAGACCCTGAAGCTAAAAGAGAGGATTTTATTGATAAAAGGGTCCTGATAAAGCATGAAGAGGTAAAAATGATTTGTGCTTTTCACAATCTTGTAGGCAAGTTGGCCAAAGGTTGAGAGAATTTGGTATCAAATTTTCTTTGTAAATGAGAGCACAGGTCAAGCTGGGCAAGAAGTACAATAGAAGGCCTAAAAAAAGAGTGATAAGGGCTGGAGGTGTGGCTCAAGTGCTAGAGTGCCTACTAAGTACAGGGCCCTGAGTTCAAACCCCCGTACCACAAAAAATAAATAAAATTTTTAAAAGAGTAATCAATGCTCAGCATACCTCCTGGGTGGAATAAAAAAGTATGCTGGGTAGAATTAGAAATGCTACTGTATGAGGACCAGATGAAGAACCTGTAAGTACTAGTGATAGTGATAATGCAGGATGACAGAGACAGGGCAGGAGACTTCTGAGAAGACTGAAGCCTTGACAGTTGCAGAATGAAAAAAGTTTGTAAACACTGTTTCACCTGTTTCTATTTTGCAGATTCACAAGGTACGATAGCATATTAAAGTGTTGAAGAAACATACAGTAATAAATAAGCATTTAGCTTTTTAAGCTCAGTATCCCTCCCTCCAAACTTAACCATAGATATCCACTCTTTTATTTCTATCAATAATAATGTACCAGAGTTTGAATGGCAGAATTTTGATTAGTCAGATTAATATTAGGTTATGGAAGTAGCTGATATTGAATAAATTCTGACTTTTTGTTAGACACTCTCTCACCTATACACTTAAATTGTCAACTTAGTGCTTATTAAAGCTTGCAAAAATATTACATACTTGTTTTTTCCACTGCCTACAAAATGAAAGAAAAAAAGAAGCACCATTTTATCATTTCTCTGTTGTATACTGGATTATGTAGGAAATGTTTGTGAATAATTTTTAAAAGTGAAGGACTGGAGGTATGGCTTTCTTGGTAATAGTGCCTGCTGTGGCAAGCAAGAAGTCCTGAATTCAAACTCCAGTTCCACCCAAAAAAAAAAGGAAAGAAAGAAAAACTGCCTAATATATTGGGCTGGGGGAATAGCTCAAATGGTAGAGTACGTACTTGCTTAGCAAGCACAAGGCCCTGAATTCAATCTCCAGCACTGAAAAAAAACCCAAAAAACAGTGAAATAAATTCTTGTGGACATTTTGTATAATACCTTGGCATTTGTACTGAAAATTAAAATTTACTTCCAAGCAAAAATCCTATGATACTAGGGAAAAAAATCATGGAGAATTAGGATTTTTCATAGGAACTCATTTTGGAGAAGCACTGTACTAAGAATTTCTCTCAATGATGAAATTGATCCAATAATCATAACCCTCTGAGTCAAAGCTTTCAAGTTACTCTAAAGCTACTTAAAAATGATCTTTTTATTTAAACTTCCTCTACACTGTCAACAAGAAAACAGTGAAACTATCAACTTGTTGATATTCAGAACATTGTCCCAAATCAAGTAATCTACCATCTTACCTTGGTCATTCATACTATCCATTATCGTCATTAATTTCTTTAGCCTTGCCATTGACTCCTGTTCATTTCCTTTGCTCATAAAATCAGTTCCAAAACCAGGTATCATCCCCTAAAACACATTGGAACATAAAGACATTAATAGCTTAATAATTGTTCAGGATGTCCACATTTAAATGCTGAGACACTTTAATACTGACACTTTTAAAACACCTTATGCCCAAGTAATTAAAGCAAATTCTTAGAAATTTTAAGAAAAAACAAAGTAAATTATATACATGTATAAAAATGTCATGATGAAAAATGTCATAATGTATAATAAACATACAGTAATGAAAAAATAAAATTAAAAAAAAACCCAAGACAGCAAAGCTAAAGAAATTTTAGAAACTTTTATGTATAACTAACCAAGATCTGACTGAAAGGGCCCATTTTCATGATATTTTGAAATTGTTCATACATGTCTCGCAACGTAAACTGACCTGAAATACAATATAAATAATTCAGACATATTAGAACATGTATATTTCCATTCAGTAAAACCAGTGTTTTTCTTAAACATGGAGTCACCTTGGAGCATACTTATAAAATATTCAATCAACAAATATTCACTGAGCAGATACTACGAGCAAGATGATAGGGTGAATGCTGTAGAGAATAACAGGCACATGGACAGATTCTATCACAGAGAAACTTACATTCTAGCAAAGATGGACATACACAAATATATACTTGAAAACAAGGCACAAAAACTATACCTACTAGGATGACAAAAATTAAAAGGCTTGACAATACCAAAAGTTAAACAGGACGTGGAACATATAGAACTCTCATATATTGCTGGTGAGAATATAAAATAGCAAAAATATTTTAGATTATTTGAAGTTCCTTAAACAACTTAGGAACAACAAATAGGAAAATGGCCAAACTGTCAATGAAATACTACTCATCAATAAAAAAAAGAACAGGGATGCTACCAGGCACGGTGGTTCATGGCTGGAGATCAAGACGATTACAATTTGAGTCCAGCATAGGCAAAACATTTGCAAGACCCCACCTCAACCAATAAAAAGCTAGGTATGGTGACGAGCATCTGTCATCCCAGCCATACAGAAAGTGTAAAGGAGGATTGTGGTCCAGACCTGCCCAGGCATAAACACTGGACTTTATCAGAAAAATAACTAAAGCAAAAAGGGCTGGAGGCATTGCTCAAGTGGTAGAGTGCCTGGCACAAGACCCTGAATTCAATCTCCAGTACCGCCTATATATATATACACACACACATATATAATATATGCTGATGGACATAGTGGTACACACCTGTAATCACAGGACTGGGGAGGCTGAGGCAGGAGAATTGAAAGTTTGAGACTAGCCTGGACTACAAAGCAAGATCTTGACTCAAAAAAAAAATTTTGAGTGTGGTAGCTCACAGCTGTAATCCTAGCTACAAAGGAGGTAGAGATGGAGAGGATCAAGGTTCAACACCAGTACTCAGTACCAGCCCCCCTACAAAAAAGGAAAAAAAAGGAAAAAAACCCACAGATCAAATGGGAAAGAGTCCAGGAAGCTGGAAGATGTTAGAAAAGTCCAGGCATGTTATATTTAGAAAGACTTACAATAAGCAATCTAGGTAAGATAAACTAGCATGGCTACAGGGCAGCTGCAGAGATGGGGGATAGAATGGAGATATTTAGGAGGTAGACTCACTAGACTAGTTGACTGATGGGGAAAGGAGTGAGCAGAATAAAGAAGAAATAGAAATAAGAATCAATAACGAGGGCTGAGGATGCAGCTCAGTGGTAGAACACGTCTAACCCTGGGTTTGATTCCCAGCACCACACACACACACACACACACACACACACGCAAAAAGAATAATGACACCAAAGTTTCTGACTCTGACAATAAGACAAGTGATGTCAACATTCATTGATGGTAACAGTGGGATGACTCTGACAATAAGACAAGTGATATCAACATTCATTGATGGTAACAGTGGGATGGCAGATTGAGATGAGAAGAATATGTTGAATTTGAGATGTCTATGGAACAATGAAGAGTGGTCTAGTAAACATATGGACAAATGAATCTGAACCTCCAGAGAAAGAAAATGGTCTAGAATGATCCCTGAAAAACACCAACATTTGAGATGTAAAGGCGTGAGTCCCTGAGAAGATGAGCAAGAAGGAGCAAAGAAAAGGAATAGTATGCAGACACAGGAATAAAGAGAAAAGATCATTTTGAGAAAGATGCAGGACATTTCATGTGCATCGACTAAGTAATCTTCACAGCCACATGAAGTAGTCTTACCTACTTTTTACTTTAAGTCATTGGAAAAGCTTACACAGCTTTTCTAAAGATCTAAAAGATCAGAGATACAAATCTAAGTACGCTATATTTAAGAACCTGTGCTTTTCTTAAACATAGTGATATACTCCTATAGCAGTGGTCTGTCATGTGACGTGAAGAGAGAACGTGTGCATATATTTAAACTTATCCTTTAGTCAGATGCTGGTGGCTCACACCTGTTAATTCTAGCTACTCAGAGGCAGAGATCAGGAGGATCGTGATTCAAAGCCACCCCTGGGCAAATAGCTTGTGGAAACCTTATCTCAAAAATAACCAACACAAAAAAAAGATGGTGATGTAAGTCAAGGTGTAGGCCCTGAGTTCAAGCCCCAGTACTGCAAAAAAATAAAAATAAACTCATCCTTTTATATTTTTTTTTTACAAATTTTATAATATATATAATTTAGAAGAAAATAGATTAGAAGAGTGTGTCCTAACTTACTTTTCACCTGTTTTTTTCTTCAAGGAACCCAATGAAAGCCTTGATTTTAACTTAAGGTAATTTGATCACAAGAAAATAAAAATACTCAATTTCATAAATGCTTAGATGCCTGAGAATTAAAATGATTTGCCTATAAATCATCTAAAACAATAAATATTTGAAGAACTGATTAATAATATATATTATTATTTCAAATGAATTAGTTGCTAAATTAGCTTTCTTAAAGAAATAAAAAACTGGGCATGGAGGTACACACTTGTGATCCCAGTCAGAAGCAGGAGGAAGGAGAGTTCAAAGCTAGTCTAGGCTACACAGTGAGAGCCTGTCACAGAAAAACAAGGGCTGGGGATGTAACTCAGTGGTAGTGCCCAGGATGTGCAAAGTCCTAGGTCTGATCCCAGCATTATGAAAAAATATCAAAGGAAGATATCTGAGATCAAATTTTTTTGCCACTCATATACCATGTTTCAACTTCTCTATAAGTGCTTCATTGTCATCCAACTTCAACTCGTTGACTTTATCTATCAGTCCTTCAATGTCACCCATACCTAAGACCCAAAAAGGGAAAAATTAGCAACTAATAATATGCTCATATTAGTTACACAAAACATAGTCACATATATTATAGCCTTGCAATGTAGACAGATTAGTTATTCTTATATTTTACAGGTGAGAAAATTAAAGCTAGAGAGATTAAATGGCTGCAAAACAGAGACAAAGTCCAGAGCTTAACTCCAAATTCCATGCTCTCTAACAATACCACCTTCAGTCACTGTAAAAGTTTTACTGCCATTACAATTGGTATTACTAGAATTACATATGTTTTGTATTATGCCCTAAAAAATTTCCAAAGAACTTTATATCTGGTATCTCGTTTTACCACTGTAGCCATAGGAAACCAGTAACTATCACTCCTAATTGAGAGGTAAGAAAAATGAGTCATAGAAGGAAATGATTTTCTTAAACTAGTTAGTGAGGACAGGATTAAAATCCTAACCTATTCTCAGAGACTTTTCTATATCTGCACCATTGTACATACCAAGAAGTTTGCTGATGAAAGGTTGTGTTTTGAAAGGTTCAAAGTCATCTATATGTTCCCCTGTACCAATGAAAATAATTGGACTTTTTGTGGCAGCAACTCTATACAGAAAAAGAGAATACAAAACAACCTCAAAAAACAAAACAAATTTCCAAAGTTAAATAGTCAAAGGGTTTGTTTTTTTTTTCAACTAGTTAAAACAGAATTATACCAGAAAGGCTCCAAAATTCTATTCAATTTAAACTACTTTTATAGATATTAGACCCACTACTGAAATATATTTTAAAAGATAAGACACTCATAAATATACACACATATCATAGAACCCTAAGACACAGGACAACAGAATCTGATACTTACGCACTGAGTGCACCACCTCCTTTTGCATGACCATCAAGTTTTGTCACTATTACTGAGGCTACATCTACTTTATCTTTAAACGCCTTAGCCTGGGCTTCACAAGCCTGCCCAATGGAGGCATCCATCACATAAACAATGTTATCAGGTTGCTAGAAAGTTTAAATAGAAAAGAAATATATTTTTATTGATTTTAAGCAACTGAGGAGCTATAGAATATTTACTTTAAACAATTATTTAATCAATAAATATTTGTTGAGGAAGGACTAAATATTTGTTTAGGTAGCATATAGGTAAATAAGAAAATCCCTGTCCTCGTAGTACATGGAGGATAAGATATGAAAGGCATCTCTAGGCAGGCTAGTCAAAGAAAGTCTCTTTGGAAGTATTGTGTGAGCTAGGACCTGAATAAAGAAGAAAAAGTTATGCAAAGACCTGGAAGAATGGCATTCTAGGCAAAGGAATATCAAAACAAATCAAAAAAGAAAAAATGGGACGTTGTATATTGAAACCAAAATGAATAAAATAGACTAATGGTATCTCCTTAAGATCTGCTCAACTTGGTCAAAATCATGGCATAACTAAAACGAAACTTATTACTCTGAACCACTAACCAAAGAATTACTGCCAACATCCAAATGGTAAAACATGAGTTTCTAATGTATGCTACAGATTATCTATAAAGTACTTCTTCTTCCTAAGTTATTTTCATCACAATTTTAAAAAGACACTAAATGATTAGTATTTTTAAATACTTCATTTTGAAACACTTTCAAAATTCACCTAATGTTCTAATTGAATTTAAGTAATTTATAGAAAGGAAATTCAACATATATTAAAGGTTAATTCTTAATTTTTCATTTTTATTTTTTCTCTGTATTTGAAATGAAAGATGATAACATTATGTCCTTATCACAAACACATAGGTGCCCAAAACAGAAATACATTACTTGGAATCTACCTGACAGGTAAGGAGTAATTTATATTTACCAGGTTTTATAATTAACTGAAGTCCTTAAAATGGTGTTTCATAGAAAGCAACTTACTATAGCATTTGCAACTTGAAGCATTTCTTCAAACAAAGAGTCTTCTTGTTTGTGGCGACCACTTGTATCAACAATAATAATTTCAAAATTTTCATTTTTGAATTTCTCTACTCCTTCAGAAGCAATGATAACAGGATCCATTTCTGTATAGCTATGTAACATGGACAAATGATTTAACAACCACAATACCCAAACTTCTAAATACTATTAATTTGGAAACTGCTAGTTTACCTTTCATCTATTCTGAAAAAGTAAAACTGATCAGTTTCAATTTTGAATAAATTTCTAATCAGTATTAAATATAGAAATCCACTTCTGTAGTAGCATGAAGCACTAACCAACTTTCTAACAATAAAAGCCTGTATAAGTCCACTGTGGGTCTTTTCTGAATTAGTTCTATTTCCTTAAGATTTTTTTAACATCTTTAATAATTGAACTCAGTTATAAACTTTCATATCTGCTTTTTAATTTAATATTCTTTTCTAATCATTTTATGAAAGAATTATTCTTGCAAAACATAACTTTTGGGTTATACAGCATGACATGAGATGGCTAGACTACCATTTATTAAATAAATGCCCTATTGGACATTTAAGATTTTTTCTTGGTATTAGAAACATAGCAAATATGAATAGTATATAAATGCTGTTTCTTTGAAACTGTGTTATGACACACTCTTACGAGTTGACTTTGGATCAAATGATACAGCCATTTAGGCTTTTGGGTTTTAGAAGGAAAATAATTCTCATAAAAGTTCAATTTCATTCCTTTCACACTGTGTTTTGACAATCCATAACAAAAATCTTTGTTAACTTGAAAAATCAAGAAATGAGATCACAATCTGGTGGCTGCCAGATTGGCTCAAGTGGTAGAGTGACTGTCCAGTAAGCCTAAAGGCCTGAGTTCAAACCCTTGTACTGCCAAAAATAAAAAAAAGAAAGAGAGAGATTACAAGCTGAGCATGATGGGACATGCCTATAATTCCAACATTTAGGAAGCTAAAACAGGAGGATCTCAAGTTTGAGCCTCGCTTGGGCTACATAGTGAGAACCTGTCTCAAAAACAATGTAACAACATCACATTTTAACTTACATTCTTTTGATTAGGTGACTATTTATACAGATCAGTACTGTCAAAAGGTAAGGACACAGAAGGTGGGCTGGGGGGCGCTCAATCCTATAATCCTAGCTAACAGGAAGGAAGTGATCAAGAGGCTTGAGGTTGGAGGTTAGTCCAGGCAAATAGCTTGCAAGACCCTATCTTGGAAATAAAAAATCACAAAACAGGGCTGGTGGAGGGGCTCAAGTGTGGAGAGCTTGCCTAGCAAGCATGAGGCCCCAGTAACACACACACACACACATACACAAACCGACAAGACACAAAATGTTTTGGTTTTTTGTTCCTCCACCCAGGCCTCAATGGTTAGCACACTCCATCGCCTGGTTCCTAGAACTCAGACTGCACACTTGTCACATCAGCAGCAGCAGGAGCATCCCTACCCCTCCCCTCCAGCCCAGCTTCAGCCTCTCTCCCTCACCCCTCACTTCCCTACCTCAGGTCCCCTGGCTCCACTTCACCTGCTATGTTTTTATAATCCTCTCAGGCTCCGAGCCAGCAATGCCACCAATGAGGGTGCAATATCATGTAAGGAAAATTCTGTGGGGTCACCAGAGGCTGCATCCAGACCCAGGAGTGTCCTGCCCTACTACAGCTTTTTGTACCCGCCCAGCTTCCCCAGCCCCATCTTGCATGAAGCAGGGAGGCAAAGGCCTTTGCCAACAGTCTGCACAGCTGCAAGCCCAGCCCCATAAAATGTTTTTTAAGTATGTTTTTTTAAGAACAATAATAAAATCAGGCTGAAAAACAGTAAGAATATGCGTAAGATTTAAATGAAGAAAATCATTATTCCTAAGGACACATATATCTTTTAATAAAAGTCATAGGTTCCTAAATGAAGGTTTATTATACAAAGACAGTAATAATGCCAATTCTCCCTTAAATTAATCAGTTGCAATGTCATTCTAATCAAATTCTTAGGGAGATTTTTCTTTTTGGATCTTGATCTAAAGAAATTTTTTTTGGCAGGACTGGGGTTTGAACTTAGATTTGGAGCTTGCAAACCAGGCATTCTACCACTTGCACTACACCTCCAGGCCATTTTGCCCTGGTTATTTCAGGGATGGGGGTCTCGAGACTTATATGCTGGGGCTGGTCTGGAACCATAATCCTCTTGATCTCAGCCTCCCAAGTAGCATGCCTATGCAACACAAGCACCCAGTTAGAATTCTAAAACTTATCTAGAAAAGTAAGCATGTAAGAAAAGGCAAGAAAATGCTGAAAAAGACGACAGATGTTAGTATTAACAAGATCCAATTAAAATTTATAAATGTGTAAGGAAATATCATCGAAGATGTTCACAAGAAGGAAAATTATTATATAAATACACATAGCTTATACAAATAAAATACATAAAAAGATTACAGTATATTATCCATTCCAGAATTAAGATGCTAATTTTAATAAATCTTTTAACAGTATGTTTACATACAATAAAAGGCACTATTGTGTTCACTTTGATGAAGTCTGATAAATTTGCACAACCCATATAATCACTACTACAGTAATTAAGGTGGAAAGCATTTTAATTTAAAATAACCTATTCTCTACATATGTATCTGTAGGTGCATTCATTTACAGCAACACTGAAAAATGCATGGATGGGCCAGGTACCGGTGACTCACACCTATAATCCTAGCTACTCAGGAGGCAGAGACCAGGAGAATTACAGTTTGAAGCCAGCCCAGGCAAACAGTTGTCGAAACCCTACCTCAAAAAAGCCCATCACAAAAAAAGGGCTGATGGAGTGCTTCAAGGTGTAGGTCCTGAAATCAAGCCCCAGTACAAGAAAGAAGAGAGAAGAGAAAAATGCATGGATGGATATACACAAAATGGGAAGTGGGAAATAAAACTGTTGCTACTTTCACATTTTCTTTAACTGGAATTATAGGTATGTGCCACCATTTCCAGCTCCCAGGTTTTTAAGTACTTTTTTGCTTTTTACATTTATATGAGTAAAGAATAGATTATTTAGTAAGTGGTATTCTAGTTAAAAATTAATGCCCTGCCTTTGGCCAGTAATTCAAGTAAACATCAATTAAGTTATATTATTTGTAAATTATACATCCTAAAAATATAGCTGTTTATTATCTCAATTTCCAAAACTACATTATTTCTATAACTATAATATATTTTTTAAAAATCCTGGTGGCTCACACCTGTAATCCTAGCTACTTGGGAGGCTGAGATTGGGAAGATCTTGGTTAAGAGGCTAGCCCAGGCAAACAGTTCATGAGACACCCATCTCCAAAATAACCAGAGCAAAGAATGAATGAGAGGTGTAGCTCAAACAGTAGAGCACCTGCTTTCCAAGTGCTAAATCTTGAGTTTAAATCCCAGTCCCAAAAAAAAAAAAAAATCCTAATAGTACTCTTTTTTTTTGTGGTACTGGGGATTAAACCCAGGGCCTTGGGCATGCTAGGCAAGCACCTTACTGGTTGAACCATTCCCCCAGCCCTTTGTTTGTTTCTTTGTTTTTTAACATTTTTATAATATATATTACTTGCACAGGGGATTTCACTTGTGACTTTTTTTTAAAATTTTTTATTCGTTTATTCATATGTGCATACATTGTTTGGGCCATTTCTTCCCCATTCCCCCCGCCCCTTTCCTCTCCCTCCCATCCCCTCCTCACTTCCAGGTCATTGTGACATTTCTATACATGCCTACAATGTACTTTGGTTAGGTTCACCCCCCCACACACCATCATTCTCTCTTATTCTGTTTTTTAAAATAGGGTCTTACTAATTTTGCCCAAGTTGGCCTTGAACTCATGGTCCTCCTGCCTCCCAAGTAGTTGATTCTTTAGTATGTCAGAAATTAATATAAAATATTACTGAAAGAAGAAAAAATTCAAGAATCATAACCAACACTAGCATTCTTTGGCCAGCCAACAATAAGAAGTCTCTCAAATGAGTTCTTCCAAATTTAATCTAGACTCCATTTTTTAAACATTCTAACATGTGCAGACTACCTAACTGAACAACAATATATCGAGTAAGGAAGAGCAATGAATAAAATCTCTACCTAAGATAATTTAGAATATAAATCATTTAAGGATGATCAAACACAAATTTTTAAAAATGATATACTAAATGTTTTTAAATGATAGACTTTTACCAGTATGTGTACCGGTGTGTGTTTAATAGTGGAATGCTTCAGTTAAGTCTTAAAGAAACAATAGGAAGCCAGTCATGGTGGCACACACCTGTAATACCAGCAAAGGTAAGACTGAGTGAGGAAGGATAGTGAGTTTGAGGCCAGTAATTTTTTTTAATTTTTAAAAGATACAAAAGAAAGAAATAATAGGAACAGAGAGGCAGAAGGAGAAACACAGGAAAGAATACCAAGCAGTAAGGTAAGTATAAACAATGTCCACTCTGATCCACCAGGCTGGATCGGCAGGAAAAGTTATAGTAATAAAAGATAATTTATTAATTATATTATTATTCTGTCCCAGAAAGGATTATATACAGAAAGTATATATTAAAATGTAACCAGACAGCATGAAATAAAAAGTCAGATTAAGGGAAAAAAAAAATGGGTAAGATAAGTTATATGAGTATCAAGAGAAAAACAGTAACCTACCTTCCATAGAATGGAATTCTTGCTTTGGTAGCATTCTGTTTTAGCTGGTCAAAAGCTCCTAAGAGATAAAGAGTTAATGAATCATCAAACTTAAAAAAAAAAAATTACAGAAAACAAATTTAAAATTTAAACACACTACCTGCTCTGAATGTATCTGCACATATCAAACAGGTCTTCCAACCTTTCCTCTGGTAATGATACGCTAACTGAGAAAGGAAGATTAAAAACATGTAAAATCATAAAACATAATAAATCACTATACATATAAATTTTCTGTTTATCCTTACCTAAGGAATAAAGTAAAAACTTTTCATAATTCTGATGGTAATATTTTTTTAACATAGCAAAATTTCTAAAGAATTTAATTAAATTCAATTTTTTGTTTTTTCTTTTAACTAAATTCTAAATGTCATATAGTTGCATTCAGATGATGTAAAATGATCAAGCAGGCATCACTATTAAAAATGCTAACTACTGTTAAATTATAAGCACAATTAGTAAAATCCTTTTAAAATAATCATGTCTTCTTCCACCCCCAAATTACAACATGGTTGAAGCTTGTGGGGAAAAAAAAATATCTGGTAACAATGTCGAAGCACCGAATTCTGGATAGGGAGTGACATAATGAATTAAACATTAGCACAAGGATATGTGAAATAAAGATCCATATTATGCAGAGTGGAACATGGAAAAGGAAGACTTGAGTCATAGGAGACAAGGTAAACAACTTCCCTTATTCTCTTCCTCCAAAATCATAAACTCATGTTCTTAAAGGAATGAATTAAACATTAGCACAAGGATATGTGAAATAAAGATCCATATTATGCAGAGTGGAACATGGAAAAGGAAGACTTGAGTCATAGGAGACAAGGTAAACAACTTCCCTTATTCTCTTCCTCCAAAATCATAAACTCATGTTCTTAAAGGACATAAGTGGTGTTTTTAAACAACAAAAAAATAGCACAATCACACAGAAGTCTAACATTCTAACAAAAAGCAATCATAAGAGACTATGGAGTTCTATCTCTTATCTTCTTATTCTAAAATATTATAAAAACCTAACAGATATATCAAATTGCAAAGCAATATTATACAGGCAGACTAACATTAAACTTGAGTCAGGTGCCAGTGGCTCACATTTGTAACCCTAGCTCCTTGGGGCCGATATCGGGAGGATCATGGTTCAACACCAGCCCGGGCAAATAGTTCTCAAGACCTCATCTCCAAAACTGGCAAGAGCAAAATGGACTTGGAGGTGTGACTCAAGCAGTAGAGCACCTGCTTTGTAAGTGTAAAGTCCTGAGTTCAAACCCCATGTCCCACCAAAACAAACAAACAAAAAAAAACTTGAATTATAAAAATATAACTTCTTGATGATTTTTTTCTTTTCTTTTTTGCAATACTGAATTTGAACTCCAGCTTGCTAGGTAGCCTCTTCCACTTGTACCACGCCCCCAACACTGACTTTTTTCTTAAAATATAATTCACCTTTGAACATGTTGTTGTTTTGCCACTCCCTTGCAATCCAACAAACATAATCACGTTCTGTTTTCCTTTAGTGGGTGTCCATGCTTTAACTCCAGGGTCTACAAGCTACAAACAAAAGAAGAGTATCTGATTAACATATGCTTACATTCAAAATCCTCCCTCACACAACTTTTAAATTATAAAAATAATTTAAGGACATTTTCATTTTATAAAAGCCACCATAATTCTACCATTCTGATACCCTTTACATATACAGAGTGAAGTTTAAGAATATAGTATATTGTATTATAAAGTCATAATCAAGCCTTCACTACCAAACTAATTTAGAAGTAAAGAGCTTAAAATATCTCAATAAAATATGAGACCAAATTTGACCTAAAGGAACAAGTTATATCACACTGCAGATATACAATAAAAAAACTTATGTGCAGCTGACGCAGTGGCTCAAGCCTCCAATCCTAGCTACTTGGGGGGCTGAGATCAGGAGAACTGTGGTTCAAGGCCAGCTCAGGCAAAAAGTTCTTGAGACCCTATCCCAAGTAATAGCTGGGCAAGGTGGCATGCTCCTGTCATCCCAGCTACGTGGGGAAGCAGAAATAGTAGGACTGGGTCCAGAAAGGATGGAAATACAGTGAGAAGCTATCTCAAACATAACCAACACAATAAGGGCTGGTGGAGCAACTCAAGCAATAGAGCACCTGTCTAGCAAGCTTGAGGCCCTAAGTTCAATCCCTAGAACCACCAATATATATACATACATACACACATACATACATCCATATGCATATATATATATATAATATACACCACACACACACACACATATATACATAATTTATATTTATATGGAGACCACATACAAATTTAAAATATTCTAGTAGTGACATTAAAAGCAGGTGAAATTGAAATTGATTTTATCACTTTATTTAAACCAATGTACATAAAATACTATTTCAACATGCAATCTATTTTTTTTTTTTTTGAGTAGTGGGGTTTGAACTCAGGTCCTTGCACTTGCTAGGCAAGCAATCTACTATTTCAGTCATACCCATAGCCTTTTTTTAATTTAATTAAACTTCAAACAGAGTCTTGCACATTTTGCTTGGGGCTGGCCTCAGGCTTCGATCTTCCTCCTTTCCCCTAAGGCTTAGCTGGGATTAGGCCTGGCCTGTTCTGTGAGATAGGGTCTCGCTAACTTTTTTGCCCAGGCTGGTCTTGAACTGCAATCCTCCTATCTACATTGCCCAAGTAGCTGGGATTACAGGTATGAGCCTCTGCACCCAGTTCCATATTCAATCTATACAAGCTATTGTACATTTTTTTTTTCCCTTATACTAAGACTTCAAATCTAGTGTGAATTTCTGGGGTTTTTTAATTAATGTATATTTCATATGTAAAGCACATCTCAATTTAACCTAGTCATATTACAAGTGTTCAATAATTGCATGTGGCTAGTGGCTACCATATTAGTATGTTCAATTTGACGAACATTTAGGTGGGCAAAATTAGAAATGACATGCAAAAGACATTCCAGGTCAAATGCTACATTCCCCAATACCAAAGATATTCTGTTTTTAAAGTTATTACATATAGAGGTCAAGTAAAAAAATCAATTTTATGAGTCAGTGTAAGAGTAAGGGTCCTAAAGGAAGAGTCTTAATCTAACAAGGATGAGGCATTTAAAAGTTTGTTCAAATGCCTCCTGATGTTCCAGAATTGACTATAGACACTAACCAACCTCTAACAATATAGTTTTCCACTCATTATATGTATACCTCATTCTAGAAATAATTTGAGAAGTCTTATATGAAGAGCTTTGGAGATCAGGCATGGGTCTGCCACTAGCTGTCTAACTTTCCTCAACTGCAAACTGAGAAGTATGAACTGGACAAATTCTTTACCTCTTTTAGCTCTGAATCTCTTTTTCTTTCTTAAAATTAATTAGCATCATGAAATGACTGAACTGAATGTCAGAGGCATTTGAGATAACTGGACTTTTCCAAAATACCTATTAGCTCTGGTACCAAAAGAATAAATGAAAATATTTGTACAATGTAGGAAAAAATGATAGTAAATCACTAGTAGACATCTAATGCTCTAAAACTTTTTAATAGCTCTTTCCTTTTTCTTCTATTCCTACCATTAGGCCTGTATGTAATTTTTAAAGCTGTAAGATTTGCATTGTAATTTGCATGACAGTAGCAGCAATAACAGTTCTAATATGAGACAAGGAAATAGGTTATATTTATTGGTTGAAAAAAATTTCTAATTCAGAATTGTTCATACTAATGTAAGCAAGAGTTGAGATTTGGTCTTTTCTAAGAAAATCCATTATACAATGAACAGTGTAGAAAAGAATACTTGTCAGGCCTTATTAATTCCACCTACTCAGGAGGTGGAGATGAGAAGGACAGTGGTTTGAGGCCAGCCCAGGAAAAAGTTCAAGAGACCACATCTCAACGAATAAAAAGTTGGGAGTGGTGGTGTATGTTTGTCATTCAGCTACACAGGAAGCATAAATAGGAGGATAGTGGTCCAGGCCACCCTGGGCATAAATGAAAGACCCTATTTGTAAAGCCAAGTGGTAGAGCACCTGCCTAGTAAGCAGAAGGCCCTGAGTATAAATCTCTGTACCTAAAAAAAAAAACACATGCCAGGTATGACTTACAATCACAAAAATAATTGCCTAGACTATCACTAGGCAATACTTGATATTAAAAAAGGAAAACTTCAGAAAGACCCATCAATCAATCTGTAGTGAAGTTTTACTCTTCACAACTTAGCTTTGATATTTTTTTGCTGGAATAGCACTGGCCTTTCATATATGAACTCAGATGTCTATACTCTGTAAATTCTGTAATAAAAGTAGGCCACTTTATAACATTTAATAATTCTTCAATTAATATTTTATACAGATAAATATTCCATAAATTATATTTAAAAGGATTCTGAAATAGTATTTTATACTACTAGTGTACTTTTTATCCACTGAGTCTACAGAATCACAGCACAACCTCGATATACTTTTACCTTCACAAGTTCTTTAAATACAGCATGCTGAATCATTTTTCTTTTGTTAAGACCAGATGCCATCTCTTCAAGATCAATAGCAGACCTTCATGATGATGGGTGGGGCATGAGAAGAATAGTCAGTTAAAACACTTTAAAATGGCTTCTGTCACACAGAATGTAAAAATACTTAAGTCATTCATATTAATAGTCTTCCAATTAACATGCATATAGTTATTACAGATTTACAAGGCTATACCAAAGAATTGCACAATAAAATATCAGATGCAAGACTTTGATTAGTTTTTCAAAGCTTTCAGTTAAAAGAATAAATTTATAAATTTATAAATTTGTCTTTATATCACTGCAAAGTACTAATTTATGTTTCTTGTAGCTCATTTATTTTATACATCTTTAAAAAAGAAAACAGGACTCCCTTCTCTAGTGAAATGCTTAAAAAAAAAAAACACTAGTCATTCTATAATTATCCCAACTAACAGTACAAAAAGAAAGGATGCCTTGAGTAGATCAGGGCTGGGATTCAAGCAGTTAATGGAGGTGCCTCTATTGTTCTCTGTGTCCTGTCCAGTCAGTGCCTATCTCAATGAATACAATAACAGAGGCCACACATATCACTTTTTCATTCAAACATGCACAGATGAACTAAAAAAGGAGAAAAAAAGAGAATACGATTCTCCAATAATGAAGGAGGTTGAAGAGGATAAAGTGGCACCACTATTCTATAAAGAACATGAATCATTAAAATGTTTTTATAGTAGAATACTATATTTTACTATAGTATATGATTGAACCCATCCAAATAAAGATGTAGCAAGATAAAAAAATCCATAATTAAATAAAAGCTACAAGTGGTTTATTATTTGAGCCATCATTATGGAAGCAGACTATATACAAGCAGATTTTTGGTACATGAATACTACACTGTTCCAGTTCCATGTAGCAGCAGTGTTTCATTATAAAGCAAACCTTGCTTCTCAGTCCTCAACTGAATAAACTAAACTTGAGTTTAGCCCGTTTTTGTACCCAATTAACTCAACTTACTTAACATTTTCTCTTAGTTGCTTTACTAGTTTAATATTAACATCCGCTTCCAATAATGCTGTACATACTTCTTTTAGCATAGCATTTAATACCTGAAAATAAATAAAAATTTAATTCACTTAATGTTTCATTTTAATTATATAAAAACAATAATTAATCAGGTATATAAACTACCACCACTTAATAAAGAAAAAACACCACCACACTACTCCTGGGGAAGAAGAAAGTTCTTCAGTTAGCTTTGGAGAGGAAATATGAAACATCCAGTCATTATGTCACAATAAAATATCCTATGTAGTTTTACACAACCAAATATTAATCACAATTTTATTCCTACATTAAATAACTAAAAATATCCAAGCCAAAGAAAGTTACTAACACAATAGATATTGCTGTTGAAGTTTTTTATGTCACTGAAGAGCTCTGAAAGCACATATCCACAGTATCTGCTTTCCTTAACTAATCTACCATGGAGGAAAAGATCACAGAAAAAAATTACCCAGTCTTACCATTTCCACTCAAAGCAGATTAAAGTTGGAAAGAAAACTATCCAACAGTTTAAGGCACTATGGTTAAAAGGTCATAATCTCTAAGCATTTTATGAAAAGAAAGCCAGGTGTCAGTGGCTTACACCTGTAATCCTAGCTATTTGGGAGGCTGAGACTGGAAGGATCGCAATTCGAGGCCAGCCCAGGCAAATACTTTAGAGACTCCATCTCAACCAAAAGCTGGGCATGGTGAAGCATGCCTATCATCTGTTAAATTAGCGGCTAGAATAAGTGATCTCTAAGATGGTCTCAAAATGATTTCATTCCATTAGTTTTTTAAAAATATTGACATCAAATTCTATAATAGAATATTTTTTCAAACCCCAAGTTAGAAAGTACTTTTAGGCCAAGTGTGATGGCACAGGCCTGAAATCCCTTGGGAGGTGGAGATTGGGAGGATTTTTTGCCAGCCTTTGGAAAAAAGTTAAGGAGACCACATTTTAACAAGTAAGTTGGGTGTGGTACATACCTATAATCCAAGCTACATGGGAGGCCATAGGTAGAAGGATCTCAGGAGAGGCCAACCCCAAGCAAAAACATGAGACCCTATCCAGAAAAATAATGAAAGCAAAAAAGGACTAAAGGCATGGCTCAAGTGGTAGAGCACCTACCTAGCCCTGAGTCCAAAACCTCAGTACTGCAAAAACAAAAAGATAATATTAAAGAAGAGAGAAAGCAAAAGCAAAAGTACATTTACAGATTTAAGTCTTTTTTCAAAAGACAGGTTATTTTTACATGTAAATTAAGATCATTTTTGTTCTTTTTTCAAAAATTCTGTATAGAAAGGTGAAATAATGATAAAGTAGTTGATTTCTCAATAAAAAACTAATTTCTGTTATCTAGTTTTAGGTTTTTATAAACAATATTAAATCTACATCAAAACAAATATAAACAGATTATTAATAATCCCAATGCTAGTGATTATAAGTATATCATACAATATTTTACATACCTCTTCATTGATAATGGTGGCATTGCTCAATGAGCGTAATGCTGATGTTATTTTTCTTCCAAGGTCTGCTAGAACCATCTTGAAGGCTCTAAGATATATTTATGAGGAATTCTAGAAAGAAAAAATATGGAACAAAAACATTTGAAGACAACCTCATTTCCCACGACCAAAAACTTCTAAAGAATATTTAAGGTCAAATTAAAGAAATCTAGTGTTTAGACATTAAAATTTTAACTTCTATAGCCTAACCTGCAGCTTTAGTACACTCATGTCCAAAAGGTAAAACTGCTGCTTGGTTATG